ACAGGTGAGTGAACTCAGGTGAAATATATATAATTAGTATGGAACTGACTATAATTGGTTTGCAATTGTCTTCATAAAACAACATCTTTCTTTGTCTTATGAAAAGTGGACAAATTAGGAACCTTCCGTGTAGACCCACAGTATTTCCCAAGAATCCAAAACTTGCTGTACTGCCAAAATGTCAGTGGATGGAAGGCGACAGTATATTGAGGTTTTACTGTATATATGTTACAGTTAAAATATGTTAAAGCAGTCCCTGGTATGAACTTTCTCTGACAGCTTCATATGTCAAATTAAAACATCTCCAGAAAACGTTTTTTGCTTTTAGTTTGTTATTGTTTCTATTTTCATCAGCTACATCATTACATAATAGTCATATGTCATCAGTAATTTTTTTCTAAATGTCCATATTTGATATCATAAAGGTAAAATAAGAAATAAGAATTCCAATTTTTCACCCTGGGGATGTATATGCTACCTTATACAACATACTTCCTATTTGTTTCCAAGAAGCTTCCTCTGCTGACAGTAACACCATAATATCCTAATAAAGATTAACTACAAACTACGCCCCAGTTAGCAAACCTTCCCATATGTATTTCAGTTTTATCATTTTTCCTTTCATTGGATTTTAACACAATCTACAACAGCTGATTGTGTCTGTATGTTTAACCAACACCTAGTGTAAGTAATGGAGCCCAGTGTGTTGGTTGCTATTAATCCAGTATAGAGAGAAATTTGTAAATAAAGTATTAAAATTATTTTTCATCTGGGTCTTCAACAACATAACAATAAAAATGACAGATAGTTTTTGGTATTCACAAGTATTTTAACAAAACATAATAAAACATTTTTTAAAAATAATATTATCAAATTAAACTTTTATCACATATTGACAAAAAATGTTACAAAGTCCCTATCATATCAAAGTTATAGGACAAAGACTGAATTTTGGAATTCATAGATATATACTACATTTAAAATCGGTGGCAAATTTTTCATTCTTACAACAGTCTTTGGCAAAACTCATCACACTGACGAACTAAAAACTGGAATTAGAGCCTAAGTACACAAAAGGACAAACTATAAATTTGATAGAGATACATATAGACATGTACACCATAGAGACACCAAGAAAAGGAAAACACACAGACATTGTACACCATAGAGACACAAGGAAAAGCAAACCACGCAGACCATGTACACCATAGAGACACCAAGAAAAGGAAAACACACAGACCATGTACACCATAGAGATACCAAGAAAAGCAAAACACACAGACATTGTACACCATAGAGATACCAAGAAAAGCAAAACACACAGACATTGTACACCATAGAGACACAAGGAAAAGCAAACCACGCAGACCATGTACACCATAGAGATACCAAGGAAAGTAAAACACAGGCCATGTACACCATAGAGACACCAAGGAAAGTAAAACACACAGACATTGTACACCATAGAGATACCAAGGAAAGTAAAACACACAGACATTGTACACCATAGAGATACCAAGAAAAGGAAAACACAGACCATGTACACCATAGAGACACCAAGAAAAGGAAAACACAGACCGTGTACACCATAGAGACACCAAGAAAAGGAAAACACAGACCATGTACACCATAGAGACACCAAGAAAAGGAAAACACAGACATTGTACACCATAGAGACACCAAGAAAAGTAAAACACACAGACATTGTACACCATAGAGACACCAAGAAAAGGAAAACACAGACCGTGTACACCATAGAGACACCAAGAAAAGGAAAACACAGACCATGTACACCATACAGACACCAAGAAAAGGAAAACACAGACCGTGTACACCATAGAGACACCAAGAAAAAGAAAACACAGACCATGTACACCATAGAGACACCAAGAAAAGGAAAACACACAGACATTGTACACCATAGAGACACCAAGAAAAGTAAAACACACAGACATTGTACACCATAGAGATACCAAGAAAAGGAAAACACAGACCGTGTACACCATAGAGACACCAAGAAAAGGAAAACACAGACCATGTACACCATAGAGACACCAAGAAAAGGAAAACACACAGACATTGTACACCATAGAGACACCAAGAAAAGTAAAACACACAGACCATGTACACCATAGAGACACCAAGAAAAGGAAAACACACAGACATTGTACACCATAGAGACACCAAGAAAAGGAAAACACAGACCATGTACACCATAGAGACACCAAGAAAAGGAAAACACAGACCATGTACACCATAGAGACACCAAGAAAAGGAAAACACAAAGAAATTGTACATCGTAGAGACACCAAGAAAAGGAAAACACAGACCATGTACACCATAGAGACACCAAGAAAAGCAAAATACAGACATTGTACACCATAGAGACACCAGGAAAAGGAAAACACACCAATGAATCTCTGTTTGGGCATGTTCAAAATTGAGTTTTGTTCAATATGTACATTACCTCAAGAAAAATAAGCATTATGTGCCCAGCTTAATAAGACATCTGTGAATGAGGCAAACAAACAGACAAAATAGTAGCAATACCTATACAAGCTCTGACAAAGACAAACAAACAGACAAAATAGCAGCAATACCTATACAAGCTCTGACAAAGACAAACAAACAGACAAAATAGTATCAATACCTATACAAGCTCTGACAAAGACAAACAAACAGACAAAATAGTAGCAATGCCTATACAAGCTCTGACAAAGACAAACAAACAGACAAAATAGCAGCAATACCTATACAAGCTCTGACAAAGACAAACAAACAGACAAAATAGCAGCAATACCTATACAAGCTCTGACAAAGACAAACAGACAAAATAGTAGCAATACCTATACAAGCTCTGACAAAGACAAACAAACAGACAAAATAGTAGCAATACCTATACAAGCTCTGACAAAGACAAACAAACAGACAAAATAGTAGCAATACCTATACAAGCTCTGACAAAGACAATCAAAAATAAAGGGTGGGTGTTAGTTATTTGTACAAAAATATACAAAGCTTTTGATTGTTTACATCTCTTCCCAAGATCAAATTAAAACATAGGAAATAGCAATAACAAAAACATTTCTAAACCACATATTCATTGACATGTTCATTTACACTGGTATATGATAGTAATTCACTTAAACCCTCCTGTGTGTAACATGAAATACATATGTAACTTTGTAAACAATTTCATAAAAAGTGTACATCTAAGATGATATTCATCCAACATATTCTATAAAAACAAAAGCACCAAAAGAAAAGTACACCAATATTTCAACTTTGTTCTACTTTGTGTCCATTTCCATTCATTTGTTCAAAAGTTAAAATCATAACATCAACCTGTAACTGACAGTAGTAAAAACTTGTTAAAATTCTTTATTCTAAAATGTCCAAAACAATAACCTTTCATACTTATATTACTTACATGAGTAATCACTCACTCAAAAATCTGAAAAACACTTAAATCTGAAAATGTTGCAATACAAATTTCTTAAGTCACTACAGAATTTCCATAATTTGTCAACAGTTTATCTGATTTTGCACCAGCAGACAAAAAGCTGAATATGGGAACAAATAAAAAACACAGTTGATGCCCAGCATCAGTTGTGTAAATAATATTAAAAGGTACGCCACATGTAGAAGAATTTTGTCTCACTCCAAAAAATATGATCAAAGCACCAAGATAAATATAACAACAAAAAGTAAGTAACAAAACATTAAATATGGGTAATTATGCTTCCAGGCCTAGATGTACATTACTTACAGATATTACCTCTATATGGCATACTATGAAACTAACAATATAAGTATTACTGTAAATGAATGCAGTATACTATCTACAGTATCAAAAAAAGTTAATTTCTGAATATATTCCAATGCATAAAATTTCATTTACCAGTTAAAAGAAAAAAATTACAAAGTTGATATTCAACGTCAAAACCACAAAATTTTTACATTTTACACATATTTTCACTTCAGTTTGAGAAAGAAAAGCTGTGTCTAATAGCTGTCGACCAATTCATTTAAATACAATAAGTTTCTGTATGACATCATTTACACTCCTGCTTAAGACAATGAAATAATTTGAGCGATTTGATTTTTCAAGATCATTTGAAAATTTATGATGGACATCTTTGGGAAATGTTGATTATGTATTTTCCTCCTCTCTATAAAACAAGCAAAGAATTACTATAAACCAACTTTCATTTGCATGCAATTTACTTTTGCAAATTTTGCTATCAAAGCCAAAACACGAAAACTTAACACCACAAATTAGAATATAGATAATGAACATGGATTTTCATAGTTAATATTTGTTGTTTATAATAATGACTATTTACCTTAAGTGCAGTTTCTCCTGAATCTATAATGTAACAGTACATACATCTATAGCATGTTTATAACATCTAGTAAGGACAATTCTGTGGAGTTTTTGTTAGGTAAATGAAACACTCCATTAGAGATCTGTAGCATGTTCTTCTTATTTGTTTAACAGGTTTTACGGCCTTTTGACATTTCAGCAGACAAGGTATGAATTTTACAACTGAGTCACCTTAATAAAAAGCAATGTACAAGCTTTAAGATAACTGTCATAGACCTTCACATTACTGTCTAAGCAAACAAAGAAGACATCTAATTAATTAGAAAGTCAGTTAGACCAGTTAATTCTTCTGGGCGTTTGTACCATATGCTGTTTCTAAGGTGTTAAATGTCATAGCAGTCTATGAACACGTCACTGTGACCCAGAAAGGTCATACAGAAAGCTCACCTGTCATGGCCAAATTTAGCAATTAAATATGGGGCTCTCTCTGGGATTTAAGTGAAGACTCTGCACTTTGAATTTTTCATTCAGAATTTGGGAAAATAATTCACTGTGACCTTGTTGCAGAAATGAAATCACAAAAGTTAGTAGCCTCAAAAGAAAGTTGGTTTACAGAAGCTTTAAATAAAAATATCACAGCAATTTGCTTGTAAACCTGAACTTAATATTCATGTCAGCTGATCAATTGTCCTGTTCGTTTATCAATGCCCCGGATTTCAGATTTGGGATCAGGTGACCTTGAACTCCAAGAAGTTGTGTCACAGAGGTCAATTTGAGGACAGTGTTCTGCATTAACTGAGCAGGTGGATTGTATTGACCAAAAATCCTCTGTTAAACTATCGATCCAAGATTCTAAAGCTGCCCCTGTCTTTTTACTATTAGATATTGCTTCATTTAAAAATATGTTTGAAGTATTAATTTTCAAGACATTCTTGAATTCTGAAAAGTCCTTAGATGCATAGAATTCTTTTGGTCCCCCATGAGATAATTCTGCCTCCACCATGTTGATTGGTTGGCCATTCATCATAGTGAGTGGAATTACTAGAAATTTTGTCTCTGCAACAACATTCCAACGGTGCATCAGTTTAACAGTCCATACACCAGGTCGCAGTGGCACTGATAGTTGTGGTTTGTGGTTACCTATATACTCCACACTAGATTTTGGTACTGTCACTTCGTACGATGCCGCTACAACATTGGCAGGATCTATCCATGCCACTGAGACTGTGAATTCTGAACCTTGACCCCAAACATGTCGCAAGACAAGGTCACTGTAGGGTCCTAAAAGCTGGGCGTAATTTCTAAATATCAATTCTTTCAAGTCGAAGTCAGTTCCAACCTGTGAAAAGCAAACAGAACATTACTTGATATTTCAGAGTTCATGAATGAAGGGTTCATGTAAGTAGTTTTTAGCTTTGGATGGATGCACTATCTGACTGACACTTTGACAGGTGCATGCACAAAGAGACTATTATGTTACCCCTTCCCTTTTTATCAAGTTGGTGAGGGGTCCAATAAGAGAGGACAGAAAAGACAGAAGTGTTTAAGGCCAGTAAATATTGATAAATATAATGCTGTTCGCCTCAATAGAGAACACTCAAGAAAATCATGATGCTGAAAGTTATACACCATCTGAAGCAAGACTTCAGTGATAAACTTAAACAAAGTGAAAACTTTGACCAGTACACAACTGTCCTTTTCGTTTGATGTGTTGCAACACAACTTCTATTTGGCTCATACAACATTGAAAGAAAGCAAGCTAACAGGTCATACAAATCAAAATCATCAACCTGGGTCAATATCACTGTTTTAGGTACATAATGAAACAACCTCATCAAAAGTGTCTTAAATCAATTATTACCTCAAGACTCATTAGCCTTCCAATTGGCCCCATAGGTTTAATTACAGCATATTTTTTCACCCATTGTACATGTGTTTCTATGGTTACAGTATTTCTGGTGTTTTCATCCATAGCCTCATAGAGAGTTAGAACTCCACTAAAATGGTCACGGATGTAGAGGAGGTGTACCTCTAATAGTTTTTGTGGAATAATTCGACATTGAGCTTGAAGTTCAAGGTCACTAGCTGCTCGTCGAAGGAAAGACCTATAAAAAGAATGGTGTTCATCCTTTTTCTTGGTATCATAGTCCAGATGATGGTATTCATTCTGCCAGTAATGGTCACTCATTTCTGTAACATTTGACAAATCATAAATCATATATATATTCAACATAAAACATGAAATAAAACAATATTCACTTCTGTTCAAAAATACTTTTTTGTAGGATTGAATGTCTCTAACTCAGAAATCAGAATCTAATACAGTTTAGAACTTGGTGTTATGATACTTTTGTGTAAAAAAGGAACCTAATCACTTAAGAGAATCTCAAGGTATGACATTCATTCAAAACACGGTGCAATGGGATGGGAAATAATGTGCTCAGTATTTTTGGTGTTTAGCAGATCGCAATGCAAATTCAGCCAATGAACTTAAGACAGACTGAATGCAACTAGACCATACCACCATGGGGTAATCCTTTTATGAAATGAATTCTTTACCTTCATTACTTCTTCCAAAGAGGTAGAGATCCAAACTGTTGATGATATCCTGATTGACAATGGCTTCAAACTTCCTTGAAAAGAATGTAGGCTTATGCTCATTGGCCTGAATAAGTAAAACAAAGCATTGTGTAGAAACAAGCTATTTTAAATTCTAGTTAATGCAAAAAGTCACATACATGCATAGAAATGATCCTTGTAAATCAGTCTAAAAGTCTGAGAACACTTTAGAAGACATATGCAACAAATGAATGTCCTTGTAATCCTGCATTCACTACAACATTTTTTTATTTATAGCTTAACAAATTTACATAAAAGTATACGAAAGATGACAATGCCATACCGTACTATGTGCCATCAAAATTATTGAAAAGCCAATAAAAATGGCAAACAGACAGACACAAAAGCACAATATTAACAAAACTGATTTTTACATTAAATTTGGCAAAAAGCAAATGTGAATTAAGTGATATTGTAGATTTTCCTAAAGTAGCCACTTTTGAATTAAAGTAAAAAATAAAATACTGATTGGTCCATATTTCAAATATTAAATTGGTCTGAAATGTTTAATGTATAGTTAGTCTGGTCTGGAATAGATTACTGTATATCAAACCATCAAAACTTGCATTTTAAGATCAGTAAACTTGAACTTTAAAAAGTGTTATACAAGATGGCAGACATGACAGCCATGTTGGATCTCAGAACAATAAGAATACATAATCAATCTCTGTTTATATTATTATGTTATTAATTATAATATGAAATGATTATGGCAGATGGCCACAGCACATAGGTCATCTGGGCCAAAAGGTCAGAAGACTAAAATAAAAGTTTGAGTATTGCTTGGTTATACAATGAAAGATTGTCAATGATGACTTCAGTAAAACTGAGATAATATAATGTATGTAACACCAAACATTAATAATGATAATGTCAAAGGACATCAATTTTTTCTATTATTCCAAGGTCTTCGACGTTCACTGACACAAACAACCTACCAGGAGTCTGTCAAAGTCGTTGGACTTGAGGTCATTAGGGGAACAGCCACACCAGTCCACTATGTGTTTATACTGACACTTACAGCCCTGTCGTCGACGCCAGTTGGTCATGTGTAGGTTGTTGTCGACTAATTTGTCACAGAAAGGGCTGTTGTGTATAAGTGTGTGAAAGAATGACTGAAACACAGAATAAACAACAACATATCAACATCTATATATAACCCCATGAATTTGATGGTTTTCTAGCACAACAGGATATTACAGTGTGATGGGCATTCAAAACTTCTAATTTTCTATTTATTTCTACATTCTTAAAAGTTGTTATAAATTGATGCAAATGATACTGAGGCTTCAGTGTAAAGGTATTTAAGTGTACTTTGGAACAAAAATTAAGTCAAGTTTTGAACAATATATTGCAAGCAATCCATAAAGTCCCTCACCTCCAGACAAACATTTGTATCAAAAATACCATATGTCTCCCCCTTAAGACAAACATCTGTATCAAAAACAGTGATAGTCCCCCACCACCAGACCAGTATCTGTATCAAAAATAGTGATAGTCCCTCACCTCCTGACAAACATCTGTATCAAAAATAGTGACAGTCCCACACCTCCAGACAAATATTTGTTTAAAAATTAATGACAGTCGCTCACCTCAAGACAAATATCTGAATCAAAAATAGTGATATTCCCTCACAACCAGACCAGTATCTGAATCAAAAATAGTGATAGTCCCTCACCTCCAGACAAATATCTGTATCAAAAATAGTGATAGTCCCACACCTTAAGACAAATATCTGTATCAAAAATAATGATAGTCCCTCACCTCCAGACAAATATCTGTATTAAAAAAATCAAAGGACCATACCTCTGCATTTATTGGGGTACATGTCATATATGTGATATCTCCTTGAGAAATGATACAAGGTGAAAAAAGATTCACAACTGTAACATTTGCCCGCAATGCCATTCACAGTAATCAGTATTGTGGTGAAAGAAATGGTGATGTTCCATTAGACAGATTCCACTATCAAACATGATTACATTTTTGTTCTATTTGATTTTAATTCAAATCATATTTAAAAAGAAAACCACAAATGCAACTAAACAGTTCAATGTTTAAGTTCATCATGCGACACAAGGAAGTGTAGAATTATTTCTTAAGCATCAATAAAGCAAAAGACTTGTTAATTCTCATCACTTCCCTCATTGCCTCTACTGCTATCATAATGTTAATTACTAAATTGACGGGCCTCTCATATGTTGTTCAATGAGGCAGTAACCGACTATTACAAAATGGCGTTGCCTGAAAATAACCCTGGCTTTTCATGGGGCAATAAATGCAGCGAACAAACATTGGTCTGTATTCAGCTGATCAATATAACAATAGAACAGGTTTTAAAGCTGTCACTTTTACATTTATATCCTCTAAATATTCATCTATAACCATGACACTTTTTGTTCGTAAAACAAACCTCTACTGGCAGTAGTGTGTACTTGAACACTTGCTTGAGACCAGACACCAACTCAGAATCTGATTGTGAGACGTAGCTACAGAAATCGCGATGTAGGGTCACCCAGTCACTACCTCCATCCAGACGGAAGCCAGTGGGAAATGCTCTTTGTGCCACTCTCCATAAGTGGTTTTCGCATTCAAAAAATGTGTTCTCCAATCCCTGCTTTTGTATAAACCTTTGAAATATACATATAGAAAATATGTGTTAAATTGAATCAAGTGAATGAACTTGAATTTTAAGGATAAAATGATGAACATAAAAATATCAAATACAACAAGAGACCCATTGGGCACATCACTCACCAAGAAATAATATGATATATTGGCACAAAAGAAAATGAATTTTAGAATATTTGCTCTATTTCCCTATTGGACCATTGCTCTAGGGAGCAGAGACACATAGAGATATTTCAGACCAAATTGGGACAGAATCCGGATTTTAAAGAATTATTTTGATTTTCTCTACTGGGCATTGCCCTTCTGTTCCATGGGGCCAAGACTGCCCATTCTTACAAAGTTTATTCTACTTCATCCAAGGATGCTTCGGACCATAATGAGAAAGAATCCTGGAATTTTCAAGAATTTGCTAAATTTCTGCTATTGGGCTTCAATCCTCCAAACCCAGGAGGCAAAGAACCACTGCTGATACAATAGTCATTCCTGTTCATCTGAGGATGATTCAAACTGAATTAGACAGAATCCTGGCATTCCTACAGAATTCACAAAAAAGATCCCCTTTTGGGTTCTAACCCTTTGGCACCAGTGTGTCGGAACCCATAACTTATAAAATAATGGTTACTCACTCCCTAAAGATACTTCTCAAGAAATTTGGTTAAAATACACTCAATTGTTCATGACTAATAGCACTTTTAGAAAAAGTCAACAGATGAACTTTCGACCAAGTGAACTAAAAATTAGTAAAAAGCACTAAAAAAATAATTAAGATGAATGTACCATGAAAATACATCAATTAAACATGTTAAAAAAATAAAAATATTGAATGTCTTTACATAATTCAATAAAGGTAAATTATAAAAAATGTATTACAGTGAGATTATTTCAGCAGGGGAATCGCTTTTATATATAATAAATGAATTTGGATACAGCGGGATAACACTTTGATCACAAAGACCAGGAGGTTCTTACCGCATTGTTTCCCTGCCATGAGATTTTAGAAAGGTATAACCTCTGTATTTGGTTAGGAAAAGCTCTAACGTCTTCAAACGCCTGAAAGTTTATAGACAAATCATAGTTTGATATATAAAATGACACAAAGAATGGCATGTACAGTGTTAAATCAGAAAAGCTATTTAAGATTTATGAAAATCAGTATATTATACAAAACATGTAAGCTTGTTATAAATTATTTTTACATGTTGATGTCATAAAAATCTTGATGGAAATCTGATTGAAGTAAAACCAAATCAATTTCAATATACATGTAGAAACAATATATGAGTTTTAAAGTTTCATAAAAAATATTCATGGAAGTTCAAATTATTGTATGATGCTCATATTTCTGCTTGTTAACAGATTTTTTAAAAAATCTTTATTTAAAAAAAATAAGGAGCAGATTGTGTGCTTCCCTGTGAACAGACTTACTTTAAAGGGTAGTCACTCTCACTCAGGTTGAGGTAATATTCCCACTTCCAATCTTTCATTGCAAGCAATTCTTGCAAAAAATGGAGGTGAGCCTGTAGAAGACTTGCTCCTCCCCATATTGTTGCAAACCGTGTACGTGCCAGGTGAATGTTTGAAAACTGTTTTTCAAGGGGAAGTAACTCCCGAAATAAGAACTCCTGCCTCTGAAAGATATATCACAGCAACATAACAATAAGCATACAACTGATATTCTTATTGATTCAATATCATCACTCTCAAATAAGCCTCCTGTGGTTACATAATACATAATATTTACTTTCTTTGCTATATCAGTGCCAACTTGTTAAAACTAGAAAATGTCTGTAAGACACAAATGCCCCTGCCCCCAAGGCATTGACTTTGGACCCCTGAAATACAATAATGTCCACAGTTTACTTATATTTGATCTTTGTATAAAGTTTGAGCAAATTCCGTGTAAAAATTCAGTTGAATTTAAATTGAATCAATTTATGATTTTCTATTTATAGCAGAATTATCTTGCCTTGACCTTGGGGCTCTGACACACAACAATATCCAAAGTATGTTCACAACTGATATTTGTATAAAGTTTGAACAAAATCCATGAAAGAATTATGTTGCATTGTATTTAAATTGAACCAGCTAATGATTTTCGATATATAGCATTGGTGACCTTGACACCTTGAAACACAACAATGTCCAAAGAATACTTATACTTGCTCATTGCATGAAGTTTAAATAAATACCATGAAAGAATGAAGTTGATAAAAATTTAAATTGAATCAGTTGATGATTTTCTGTATCTATCATGGGTGACCTTGACTTTCACTTTGGGACAGGATGGAGCAGAACAGACAAGGGGAATGCTGTATGTCCCCCTCCTCCCATTTTATGGTGGGAACATAAAAAAATGATGTGAGGGGTGGATAACAGGTTTGTGAATGGCAAATACTTCTTTATGATGTCTTCAATGATGAAAAATGGCTTATGCACTATTCAATACAATGGTTGAACTTATTAAATGAATTAATCCAATGTATCAATTTGGGAAATCTTTTGCAAAATGCTTTAATTGCCTGCATTATTATTCACTGTATGTCTGTGCGAGGACTGCAGTGAGAACTCCCTACAGAGTTTGTTATTTGTTTTATGTGCTCTCTTCTTCGGTACATTTATTCTCCTTTTTCACTTTTAATTCACTGAAGTTGTATCTATGGAAGCAAATTGAAATGAATCCCTGCTTAAAAATGCACAAGAAACCTACCAGACAGGCAATTTACATGAGTTCAGTTAGGTAACTAAGAGAATTTGAAGAAATAAAACACATGAAAAAAATACAATACCTTATCAACATGTATGTAATAATAATGATTGGGATGATATATGGCCTTCAGCAGTCTACGGACTTGACGAACAGCTCGCCCATTCACAGTGAAAACAAAAACAATTTTCACCATTTCGTCTTTCATTTCTAATTCTGCATCTTCTGATACTAAGGATGCTTCATTAAGTATTTTCTCTGAAACATATAAATAAGACAAATTTAACAGTACAGTATAAACAGTAAGTAGGCTGCAATTTATCTAAAATGTGTCTTAATCTCTAGTGTTTGTGGTTTCAGTTCAGTCATCAGCCTATTGGCTTCCAATGAGTCCTATATTGAAATTGGTTGTATCACTATTGTCAAAATGTACAATGAACTAGTTTTGAATGCAATGCTAATACCTTTGTATAGTAACATAAGTATTATATATGATGTACCCCCACTTACCATAAACACAGATTTTAATATTTCACCCTTAAGACTTGTGCTTTAGACACTTATACCTGTATGACACCTACGGTTATATCTGTGTTATACACACTATCACCTGTATGACATCTACCGTTATATCTGTGTTATACACACTATCACCTGTATGACACCTACCTTTAAGACCTGTGCTATATATACTATTAGCGAGGAATCCACCACATTTCTGTACAGTGTTGCCTGGACAACGACTGCTACATCTTTCTTCTTCCTCCATTTTATGTGCTCCATAAGAATTCCCACACCAACACTCTTTACTGTACTGTAGACCAGCATATGTAAAACCTGAAAATGTTAATTAACAAAATATACACACAACTATCTTATAAAAGGCCAATACACAATTTTATATATACTGAAAATTGGAGATGTAGATGAGAATGATGTAAGAGATATACAACTAGCTTAGTACTGAACCCTTTCTGTAAAGTCCAAAATTTGAACTGTTAAATCATGTAATTTCCTGGGGTGCATTTTTGTGTATGTGTATGTTTTTGTTTTAAGAAAATCAGGTTTCTTGAACACTATAACTCATGGATATATATAGCCCAATAAATCATCTTAAACCAATTTTAACATTTCATGGACAGGTTACCCGATGGCATGAAATCAACAAACATAAATCTCCAAAAAATTAATGATGAAAAACACTCTTGACCTACATAATGTTGCAAAACTAGATTGAAGATAGAGTATAAAGTGTTGATAAGGGTTGGAATTCCAGGCTGGCATATTATGATGTAATTTCTAAATAAATGACTTAAAACTTTTTCATGAAATTTTATCTTTAGTCAATAGAGGTCAGAGTTCTGGATATTTTCCATGTTCATGTAATTGATCTTGCGGTTGAACAAATAGTTATTTGACTGGATGTTAAGTGTTGGGAGGTAAAATCTCACCTAAAAGGATACACAGATTTATACATTTGGTAGGTGTATTATCCTCTGGAAATTCCTTGTGAAACCTCATGTCACGAATTTGCATGTTGTCACGGAAACAGCCCAGATAATGGCCTTTGCTGTACATACCTGAAAGAACATGTTTGCTAGTTAGATATCTATTTCCAGTATTTAAGAAAGTCTTTCCAAAATGTAAAGGTGTTGCCTGTGTGGCAAACAATAACAAATCTTTATTTCCAGCTATGGAAGTATTCATTTGACCCATGTGGTACAGCTATGGAAGTATTCATTTGACCCATGTGGTACAGCTATGGAAGTATTCATTAGACCCATCTGGTACAGCTATGGAAGTATTCATTAGACCTATGTGGTACAGCTATGGAAGTATTCATTTGACCCATGTGGTACAGCTATGGAAGTATTCATTTGACCCATGTGGTACAGCTATGGAAGTATTCATTTGACCCATGTGGTACAGCTATGGAAGTATTCATTAGACCCATTTGGTGCAGCTATGGAAGTATTCATTTGACCCATGTGGTACAGCTATGGAAGTATTCATTTGACCCATGTGGTACAGCTATGGAAGTACAGCTATGGAAGTATTCATTTGACCCATGTGGTACAGCTATGGAAGTATTCATTTGACCCATGTGGTACAGCTATGGAAGTATTCATTTGACCCATGTGGTACAGCTATGGAAGTATTCATTTGACCCATGTGGTACAGCTATGGAAGTATTCATTTGACCCATGTGGTACAGCTATGGAAGTATTCATTAGACCCATGTGGTACAGCTATGGAAGTATTCATTTGACCCATGTGGTACAGCTATGGAAGTATTCATTAGACCCATGTGGTACAGCTATGGAAGTATTCATTAGACCCATGTGGTACAGCTATGGAAGTATTCATTTGACCCATGTGGTACAGCTATGGAAGTATTCATTAGACCCATGTGGTACAGCTATGGAAGTATTCATTAGACCCATGTGGTACAGCTATGGAAGTATTCATTAGACCCATGTGGTACAGCTATGGAAGTATTCATTAGACCCATGTGGTACAGCTATGGAAGTATTCATTAGACCCATGTGGTACAGCTATGGAAGTATTCATTTGACCCATGTGGTACAGCTATGGAAGTATTCATTTGACCCATGTGGTACAGCTATGGAAGTATTCATTTGACCCATGTGGTACAGCTATGGAAGTATTCATTAGACCCATGTGGTACAGCTATGGAAGTATTTATTAGACCCATTTGGTGCAGCTATGGAAGTATTCATTTGACCCATGTGGTACAGCTATGGAAGTATTCATTTGACCCATTTGACCCATGTGGTACAGCTATGGAAGTATTCATTTGACCCATGTGGTACAGCTATGGAAGTATTCATTAGACCCATGTGGTACAGCTATGGAAGTATTCATTAGACCCATGTGGTACAGCTATGGAAGTATTCATTAGACCCATGTGGTACAGCTATGGAAGTATTCATTAGACCCATGTGGTACAGCTATGGAAGTATTCATTAGACCCATTTGGTGCAGCTATGGAAGTATTCATTTGACCCATGTGGTACAGCTATGGAAGTATTCATTTGACCCATGTGGTACAGCTATGGAAGTATTCATTTGACCCATGTGGTACAGCTATGGAAGTATTGTGGTACATTTGACCCATGTGGTACAGCTATGGAAGTATTCATTAGACCCATGTGGTACAGCTATGGAAGTATTCATTAGACCCATGTGGTACAGCTATGGAAGTATTCATTTGACCCATGTGGTACAGCTATGAAATTAAATTTGAGCTAGCAAACAATTTTTTGTTTTTGATACCAAAATAATTTGAGGATATTTCATGATTATTGAAAAGTTTCTGTAGGAGCTCTATATTGAACTGATAGCACTTCAGGTGAAGAAATCCAAGATAATCAATGGCTTCCATCCACAGCGAATTTCAAATTCAGTTCATAAAATATCCTGAGCAAGCCTTCTTGTAAAGAAGCTCTGTAGAAAGATTGATCCAAAACAAATGAAAGATACCAATGTTATATCTATAAAGTAAGTGACCTTGACCCTTTATCATCAAACTTACTTGAAATTAACATTAGAAAGCTTGGGCTGAAGAGATCAAAGTTATGGAATAAATTTTCTGTCTATTGTAACAAAAATGTTGAACTTTGATCTTCACACCCTAAAAGCATCCCAAAGCAATACCACTTCCAAAGAAGAATATTATTGCATATAATGACTTACAAACCAAATATCAAGGGCACTTATATATAGCGACACTATGGTTATAGTGATTCACTTTAATCCAAATACTTTTGTTTATAATATACACACAATTAGAAAATAATACACAAAGTATCATATATGATAAAGACCAATCTACTCATCTCAACAAGTTTTGATAAGTTTAGAAATACTAGTTACAGCACCAAAGACTTTTATCAAAGTTCCACTGATAATGCAACAACAAGTTAATGGCAAAGAAATTGTATGACAAGAGGTAAGACAGATTTTACTTAATATCTTGTCCTAGATTATACCTTTATGTGGACAGCTATTAGGCAGACTGTCAGGGTAAAGTTTACCCTCCTGAGAAAGGCAGTAGATATCTGCAATCTCTTGTTTACATCCTGGTGTTCGTGATCTGTTAATGGCTGACACAGCCTCCTTCCCAGTAATCAGACACTTTGGTTTATATGATAGCTGTATATTGATGGTATTATTGTCTTTAGATGAACTATCTGATGTCTGTGTAAATAACGGCTTAAGTTTCATAACATCAGGCGGATCTTTTCCATTCTGTCAAAATAGAAGAAAACCATAAAAAACCACACATATAAAATTGATATGAAAATGAGGACGAATATGAAAAAGATGAAAATTGAGGAAAGGCTTGCAACATGTCAATTGATTCACTTCAGAAAAAAACCTGACCAACCAATACACTGTCAGTCATCTTTTGGATAACAAGCACTTACTTCACTTAAACCTAGATCAGACCATGTGAGCTGGATGTAAGTGTTTATTTTCATCTTAATTAAATTAAAAGGAATTATTTCTAGTTATTTGATTAACATCATCACAATGGTGTGGTATGTAAATTGCATGTACAGAGACTTCATAGAATTTGCCAGTAGGTCACTTACAATTGCATCAATGATAGCTACATTCAGAAAGCATTTTAATGTTTAAACATTGATTCAAAATTATTATCATACAGAACAATGTATATTTATCATGATCAGACATGGATATGTTAAGCACTTCAGAACAATCACAATTGCCAACAGCTAAAAACTGTTTACAGCATTATCAGTTGATCTGGCTTTTAACAAAAGTCTTGAAAACAATTTGTTTTACAAAGTAATGTGGTAATCAACTAAAGATTCACATCTGATTAAAGCTTTGAAGATTGTAGATATAAGTGAAACAAGCAATATATTTAGAAGTGATTTAAGGTGAGAAAACAGTTTTCACTCATTGTGTATTACTTCTCCCAAGTGAAATACCATTAACATCCTCTCATGTTGCTAAAAAAATCCTTTCATAAACATATTTACACAACGAAAGTCATCATCAGACTTACATAAAGATTTTCTGACTAGTTTTGAGTTGACAAGCTTGACCAAAGTCATGAATGATTAACTACCATGCACACGTAACTATATGATATTTCTGAGCTTAAGTAGTGGAAAATATTTTCGCAATATACAGAGAAGACTTTTGAATACTAGTATACTCTGTATATGAAATAGTCTTCACAAGAATGTCTGTTAATTAGGGTATTTACACTGAATATTCCTCCAGGCATTAAGTTATAGTCAAGTCATGAAAAAAATAATGTTTGTCTAATCAAGTACCTTATGTCCCATCTTAATCATACATTACTGACAGGTACACAGATGCCTTTGGCTCAGAATATGCATGGACAGGATCTTTTATTACTCTTCTTTACACCTAAACCCTTTGTAAACAGTTGTTTATAAACATCAAATATTGTTAAGAAAAGCATAAACTTTATGAAATAAAAGACCAAATAAGTAACAGAAAATAAGAGTTCCTTAATGTATATCAAATCAAACTTTTGAATAAACATTCTTCAAAGTTAAGTAATGATCACAGTCAGTTCATAAATGCTTTCTTTCTTAATTAATCGACGTCATATGACACACCATATTTTTATGACAATAAGTCTGCATCTGGTAATAACCCAGCTGCTAAGTGTTACCACAAATATTATTTCAACATCCTAAGCCCACCATCTGACTTTAGTAAAGTCAGAAGTAATCATGTGCTGGCCCCTTGTGGAACCAACTACTGCAGGACATAAATACGTTGTTTTTAGTGTTTCCTTAAATTATATATCATGGATCATCCATGTTAAAAAGTACCAGTTACATATGACTACTAAGTGCTTGTCATTTAAAATCTGGTCATGACAACAGTTCTTCAAAATCAAGGGTAAAGGGGTACATACGCTTCATCAAGAAAGAAGTCTTATCAATCAATAGACACTGGTCAAATGACATATCAGGTGATTCTGCTGCAATTTTCATGATCTGAGCAGTTAGGTCATATGGCCAATAGAAGGTTGACCCAATTGGTGTGTTTGACAACACTGTATTAACTGCCATGTAATGCTTCAGGCATGTTGTAATTAAAACTACCTTGTGAAAAACATTTCAAACTGAGATCTTATTTTTTGAAGAGTAGGAACTGGCATAATGCTTGAACACATCAGAAAACATTTATTGCTTTTGTTCTTTGTTATTCTCAAAATAGACAGCACGAACTTGAGATTGTATCTGGGAAGGAATTTCTAATCTATTGCTTTTTATCAGTTAACAAGGAAAATACAGTCAACCAACAGCCTGAAGGGACCAACTATTTCATCAGTCATCATTAGCAAATCATTGGCATGTTATACAAGTATATCCTGTCAGTCAAGACCTAAAAGGTTCTGAGTTTTTTTTTTTAATTTTTTTATTCTTGTATATGTTTGCATATGGTAATTTTCAGTACAGTATTTCTTTCATAATTATGAAATTCAATATGTGTATCTATATACCCCTTTCATATTGCATAAAAATGATTGATTTCACCTAATTGAAACTGATATACTTAAATATATAACCTAAGCATACAAGTAATAGTAAATCTATTCAAAGGCCAAAATGAAATTAGCATAAAGTGAAATTTTTAGAGAAATTAATAGATCTGCAGGCAGTTTGAATATACAGGACCCCCCTCCGCTCCCCTCTCCCAAGAAAAGTCTATGCCGTCTGATATTGTTTCTGTACTAGTACTGCTGACTTTAAAAGACTATAATTCAGGTATGTCTTCTTGTTCGCTCACTTGTGGCATTAATTGTTCCAGTATACTATAATTCAGACATGTCTTCTTCTTCACTCACTTGTGGCATTAATTGTTCCAGTATACTATAATTCAGGCATGTCTTGTTCTTCACTCACTTGTGGCATTAATTGTTCCAGTATACTATAATTCAGGTATGTCTTCTTCTTCGCTCACTTGTGGCATTAATTGTTCCAGTATACTATAATTCAGACATGTCTTCTTCTTCGCTCACTTGTGGCATTAATTGTTCCAGTATACTACATTCGCTAAATTCTACCAACAGGATTCTGTAATTCTTTAAAATTGGAATCAAAACTAACTTTGTTCTATTTACATAATCTTATCAATTTACAGTGTTACAATGCCAATGCTAAACAAGCCAAAGAAGCATCATACTCTGTCAGTTACAAAAAAGAGTAAATGACAGAGACTAGCACCTATAACAATGCATCATATGATGCTCATTTTATATGCTATATTCCTCAATTGTATTGAGATTTCTAAAACCCATAAATCCCATTTCTAGAAAATATAGGTAACATGATCAGGGTGCAAAGTGAAAAAACTTTTGTGGCAATATAATCAATGGTTTGCTACCAACTCATAAGCCAAACTAAGCAATTGCTACTGTGAACAAGAAGATGATTAAACTGAACTCTATAGTACAAGCCACGCTGACCTGTCCGTTTTATCATGAACTACCAGCAACTATCTGTTGCTACTATATTTACTTGTTGAGTCCAAAAGTCTGCACACAAAAAAATCCATATGGTGAGGCAATAAAAGTAAACTTTTAGTTATTTCTATACCAACCATCATTCAGGTTTCAATGTTAGATCTTACAGGAGATTTCTCTTGTGTACTCATTTCAAAACCGACACTGGTAATGATAGCACTTATGATCAATCTAATGGTTATTTGCAGTTTATCAAGTTTCACTTTAGATTCCTAGCCTTGTTATATAGAATCAATGAAGAGCATCTATTATATCCCCTTCATTGATGTTATGTTATTGGTGACCAGCTTGGTTGACTCATGAACTCCAATAACCAAGCCCATGGTGTACCATCACAATCTAGCGATGAACATTATGATCAGCATCATCAACCTTTATCAGATAGCAAAAATTTAATAATAAAAAACAGAACTTCCTCACCTTGTTTCCAATTTTGCCATCACGGAAATCCTTATCGAAACTAAACATATAAAACATTGTAAACTGTAAAAACACTATCGTTATAGCGCAGATGGATAATTTTTTGTATTTAAAACATCGCCGGCAAATGTGACGTCCCATCTTGTTATGTTGAAAGGCCTAAATGAAGTAAGAAGGAAAATTACCGAGGGTGTCCGATTAACACGCGGCGCATTCGATTACAATAACGCTTTTCAATCGTCTCTATTAGTTATCTCCCCTACACCACACGTGGCACCCCATTGCTGAGTCATCAAACCAGATACCTATTTAGGCATATAGTTTCAAATGATGAGATAAAACATCAACAATTTAACTGTATCAAGATTTAAAACTTTGATGGCAGATTCGAGATGAAAATAGACCTCTTCCTGGCAACGAATTCAGATAATTTAAAGTGCCGGCGTATAATTTTTAAGTCCTGTAAATTATGCATTACAAGAGACATTTATTCCCAACGGTGCCCATTGTGGACGTTAACAACTTTGCACTCATTATAAAAAAGTTGCCACTGTCAGTAATTTTAACTCTTTGAATAGCAACATTGACTTTTTTGCTTATTTTGTTTTGGGATATCTTCCCACGGACTTAAATCAGATATCTAGGTCAGTGGTATCGCCTTATACCGCTCAAACGTTTACATAAGTAAGCAATTTTACCGAGGTTTCAAAATGGTTCTAAAATGTAAACATTTCCAAATGCCAAACGACTGAAATAATCAAAGTCAATAATATGTTTTTAAACGCTCTACATACACAGAACGCTTACCACAAACATTCACTTTGACATTGGAAAGGAAACCCTCAAATACCAGGAAAGTATAAACCAATACAACATCATGGACTTAGATACAGAGACAAAGAATCATTAAAAACATTTTGGTAACTGTTGACTATTCAAAAAATATAATTCACCTTCAGTTACCACTGGATGATGTTTTGCGTCTAGTATTGTGAACTTTGGGCCCCTGTTGATTTTTTAAGTATTCGGTGATTTTTTTTCTCAGAATAATGCCACGTCTGTATTAAGTAAACTCATATTTTATTAATGGGTTTTACGTCCACTATTACGAGCTCTCGGTCTTTCAGCAGACGATATGAAAAATCATAGTAAGCAAATCAATTTTATATCAGTGTGAAAAGAAGTTTGGGTTATTTCCCTTTATAGAGGTTTTCATTCTTTTGGCGGCAAATTAAACCAATACCAAGATGTAAACAAATGTTGACGATTAGGTGACTTACGCATTGACAGTTCAAGAGCTGTGACTAGCCATGTCGCAGCCCTTTTCATCGATGTTTTCGCGGAGATATTCGTAAGTATATTAATTATATGTATATGGGACTTCACACAGATATACCGCTGGGATAGTCCGTAAGGTCCTGACTAAGCACAGGAGTCTGATGTTCTGTCAACATCGAGTTGTGTATCGAGTTAGGCCAAATAATCGTTTAAAGATAACCCATTTTCCATTCATCATGACACTAGGCAGGGTATTATAGTTACAGAGCAGATATAAACACTGGGAAGTGACAGACTTACAAATGTAATTCTAATTAAAGCATGAGTCTGGTGATGAGGAATCTTAGCATTCCTGTCCTGGAAAAATAAAGTATAAATAATGACAGAATATCAGGCTCCTGTGGACAATATATGTATCAGCAATTTCATGGACGGCGATCAAGTAAAAAATAAAACTGGATAGTTGAAATTTTTCAAATAAACAGCTTGGCATAGGTCATCATATAATTTTTTAAAAAGTCCATTCACTGCATCTCAAATGTAGCAGAGACGTATATATCACGTGATATATACGTCTCTGCATGTAGGTATTTGAAACCTAACACATTTTGCCACCAATTGGAGGTTCAAGGGCAGCTTGTCTTAATTATTTTTTTGACATTCTCTCAACTACATATTGGTCTGAAGCCCAATATGAAGTGAGGGAAATAAGCAATCCTCGGCTGGATTGTTATTCAAATAATAACTGTGGAGAGAAATTGTGGAAAGAAATATATACAAGATACACAACCTTTATCAGCATATTGCTGGCTCCAGTCGCATGGACCAAATAAACATGGTATCGACTGGGTATTGCAATTTCTTTACTTTTCAAAGTGATATGACACTATAAAAGTATAAAGATCCGTTGGAAGCAGGACCCCACAACACAACATACAAAACTATTCCTGAACAGACAGACATGTGGGGAAGAGTGTCAGAATACTTGACTTGTTGAGGGTGGACACACTGGACAGTAAATTAGTTGAGGAAGATCTAAGAGATGATGCAGAAGGAAACTATTCAACTGGAAGTATGAGAAACTATATGAAGTCCACACAGTTGAAAGGGCAATATCTGACTTAGTAATTTAAAGCCATACATTCACAGGAAACAGACATTTCATATACTAATGCTTAGCTTACTCTTTGATATATGCCACTATGATTCCAAATGATTGTTTTATGATGACAATGAGTGAGTCGTCTCATCAACTGTAATACACCAAAGTAAATTATGAGTTTTTTTCTGTTTCAGGGTATTTAACTGTAAACATATTAAATGCTCTGAATGTTGAGTACCATCATTATATTTTCTGTGAAGTTATTAAAGCCACCTCTTTTTAGAGTTATTTATTTAACAGGTTTTATGTCACTTTTACGTCTTTTTGGCCTTTAAGCAGACGAGGATTGTTATTTCTCTCTTCTACCTTTTTATTTGCCCATTAGTTCTCCCAGAGTTACTTCCCTTAGTTTCACTCAATCGGTGCAGATAGTAATGATAACCTTGCAAACTGACTGGCAATTTGCAACAAGGTATAGGGGTTGGGGAGTTTGACATTGGCTAGCTTGCTAGTCTAGCTGTTTTCTTTACAGTTGATCAGTGAGAAGGTATATGGAACATTATACAGGGCCTTATTTCAAATGCTTTTAGAATATCGTGTAAATATTCATTGTTCCAAAATGAAGTTAATAGAAACTAATAATTGTTAAAGTCAGTTAGAAGTGGGGCTTTCTCAGCTTAATGTTACTTGTTTTGAAAAGATTAGGTACATGCTATAAGAAAGAGAAACGGTAAGAATTTTCAGTACACTGTTATGTTGTACTTAATTGCACGATGATATGTATATTGAAAATTAATATTCAAATGACATGTAACATCTAAATATACTTGATATGTTGTTAATGATAACATTAGAAATAAGAGAGTGATTGGTTGATTTTTACATTTATTTCATGTTTATATGTACAAGACATTGAGAACATAGAAAAATATTCTTAAATAGTTGGTATCTCTTAAGTGTGTGGCTGATTTTTAATCATGACACTCTGGATCGTTGAGAATATCGGTGTTCATCCATCTATCTATATATCTCTGTTATGACAGGTTTGTGAACATGTAATAGATGTCCAGATTTCAGGATTGTTTTGCAAAATTGTTAATTGATAACATGTTACATTGTATCATCATGAGCAGAAATTGATGACCTTGTCCATTACTAGGACCATTAGTGTTCAAACTTTTGTGATTCAATCATGTTTTCATAAATTTCAGAAAGCGACAGGTAACAAACAGGGATTTCAACTTTGTTCGAGATTGGAACACTGGCAAATCAGATAGCAGAAGTAATGATAATCATGATACATTCAGTGCCAAGGTAAAAACCCACATTGTTATTGAACTTGTCCTGTTAACTTCCTGTTTGTCAATTACTTACTTAACATGAATTATTATTTCATTTTTCATAAATGAAGTGGTGTGTGATTTTGTATGTTTTCTAAGAAAAAATTCTATTTATTGCACATAAAATGTTTTAACATGGATATTGCAATTGTTTGAAACAAGATCAGTTTTATGTATAGATGTATTGTTTTATTGTAATGTACAGATTATTGTTTTATTGTTATGTACAGATGTATTGTTTTATTGTAATGTACAGATGTATTGTTTTATTGTTAGCTCACCTGGCCCAAAGGCGTCCGTCAACTTTTCATTTAAACAACTTCTTCTGAAATACCGAAAGGCGTAGAGTTATCATATTTGGCTTGAAGGTTCCTTTGATGAAGCCAAACAAAGTTTGTAAAAAGAAATGACCTTGACCCATATTCAAGGTCACAGAGGTCAAATGTGTTAAATCCTTTAAACGACTTCTTCCAAAATACCAGAAGGCCTAGAATAATTATATTTGGCTGGATAGTTCCTTTGATGAAGCCCAACAAAGTTTGTGAAATAAAATAACCTTGACCCTTATTCAAGGTCACAGATGTCAAATGTGTAAAAAAAAAATTAAGCGGCTTCTTTCAAAATACCAGAAGACCTAGAATCATTATATTTGGTTGGAAGGTTCCTTTGATGAAGCCCAACAAAGTTTGCCAAAAGAAATTACCCAGACCCATATTTAATGTCACTGAGGTCAAATGTGTTAAAAAATTTCAACGACTTCTTCCAAAATACTGGAAGGCCTAGAATCATTATATTAGGCTACTATGTTCCTCTTATGGTGTCCTACAACGTTTGCTAAAAGAAATGACCTTGACCAATCTTCAAGGGCACAGGAGTCAAATGTGTTGAAATGTTAAAACAATTTCTTATGAAATATCGAAAAGCCTAGAATCATTATATTTGGCCAGTATGTTCCTTTTATGAAGTCCAAGAAAGTAAAAGAACTGATCTTGACTCATAGTCAAGATCACAGGGGTCAAATGTGTTAAACATGGAACATATGCACAGATATAGTAATGTTGGTCATAAAGATCCTGGTGAGCGATACAGGCCCTCTGGGCCTCATGTTATGTACAGATGTTTTGTTTTATTGTAATGATCAGTTTTATGTACAGATGTATTGTTTTATTGTTATGTACAGATGTATTGTTTTATTGTAATGTACAGATGTATTGTTTTATTGTAATGTACAGATGTATTGTTTTATTGTAATGTACAGATGTATTGTTTTATTGTTATGTACAGATGTATTGTTTTATTGTTATGTACAGATGTATTGTTTTATTTTAATGATCAGTTTTGTGTACAAATGTATTGTTTTATTGTAGATAATATCTTAACCAGATGGAAAATTTCAAATTTCAGTTCAATGCATATTAAAGAAAAATTGATGAATTAACTTTAATTTTACTCAACAACATAGGTGACTCCACGGGCACAGTACATAATTTCCACATCTAAACCCAGTCCAGCCCATAGCAGCCATCATTTATCAGATCTGTCTGATCTCATCAGCAGCAGCCCAATACCAGTTGTTATCCAGTCACCGCTCGCAAGGGGTAGGTAATTCTTCACTGTGATAAGCCAACAGACGTCATGAGAGGCAAGTCTTTACAATCATTTGACCAACACACATCAGGTGAGGTAACATTTAAAGCAACACTTAACAAGGCTAGGTAAGAGCACGAAACTGGACAAAGTCAGCTATAGCTTGGTAGCAGTAAAGGAAACGGTATGAGATTCTAACTGGTATTGTCATTGATTAGAGCTAGATATAGGCAGGTCTCTTCCATGGATACATTTTTATGATTTATCAGGATATATCATCTGTCACTACCCAGTCCCCAGTTATCAGGTTAGATTAATTTAATTTTTGACTTTATATATGTTATTTTACAGTTGAAATTTGAATTTTAGGTTTACAATTAGTACTGCAAACTTTCTGTTGATCTGAACAAAATTAAAAACTATTTTCAAACCGATTCAAATTATAAAAAATATGCTTCTGATAAATGAGCTTGAGTCTGATCAATCAGAGTTGATGTTGACACTGCCCGAAAGCTTGGCAATGTGCAAACATAGTGAAATTAACAAAGCATGAAGTCCCTTGAAACTACCAATCAGTAAAAACATGGTCCTGTTTGGAATATTGACTAGTGTGTGGATATTCCATGTGATTACCTGTTGAATAATTTGCATGAATCAATTATCATGAAATTGTAGGATTAATTTTCTCTTTGTGCTGGACGTCGCTATAAAGAAGACATGTAAGTGAAAATACATACATCTGCATATGTACTGATGGAAGTTAGTACAGCTGTAGTAACATCAGTACATATGTACTAATGGAAGTTAGTACAACTGTAGTAACATCAGTACATATGTACTGATGGAAGTTAGTACAACTGTAGTAACATCAGTACATATGTACTAATGGAAGTAAGTACAACTGTAGTAACATCAGTACACATGTACTAATGGAAGTAAGTACAACTGTAGTAACATCAGTACATATGTACTGATGGAAGTTAGTAAACTGTAGTAACATCAGTACATTATGTACTGATGGAAGTTAGTACAACTGTAGTAACATCAGTGCATTATGTACTGATGGAAGTTAGTACAACTGTAGTAACATCAGTGCATTATGTACTGATGGAAGTTAGTACAACTGTAGTAACATCAGTACATATGTACTGATGGAAGTTAGTACAACTGTAGTAACATCAGTACATATGTTCTGATGGAAGTTAGTACAACTGTAGTAACATCAGTACATATGTACTGATGGAAGTTAGTACAACTGTAGTAACTGATGGAAGTTAGTACAACTGTAGTAACATCAGTAATGTTGATTGAGACTAGGGCTATGTGTCAATGTTTTATTTGGAATTATCTCATTGGTGTTTACATATCTATAAGCTTTACACTTACATGTACAATGATTTATTGGACATAATTTATTAAAATAATGTGGTTACCTTATATCTGTGAACACTGTTACTCTGACAATACAATTATATATAAAGTATACCAACATTTCATGCTCTATAGCCAGCACTTTTATGGAGTTTGGACTTCAAGTTATGTCAACAGGTGCCAGCATGATGTGATAGCAAAAAGATGAAATCAAACTTTTTCAACAGTAATTAAGTGACATGTATATCAATAATGTCATAAATAAGGCCTGTGTATGATACCTCAATGTGTTTAAACAATTCCAAATTGTTTCAGTAGAAGGATAGAAAGGGTGCAAAGTATCATCAGACAGAACATTAATGTTTATGTTGATGTACCTGCCAATTCAGACTGACTGAAAGTTCATCATTTTATGAAATCAAAGATGATATACAAGGTGAAATTCAAAATGCAGATTTGAATATAAAAGTGTTCTTTCACTTTACAGCAATTCCTACTGAACAGTCTGTAGAGAATGAAGAAGAAGAGGAGGTGGATGGAGATGGGGATGTTAGCATGGGTGACAGTACTATGGCTGTTAAGGATGATCACGACTCTGAAAATGACAGCTTTGTTGTAGATGCTACAGTGCAACATGCTCAGAAGGAGGATATGGAGAATACTTCCCAGCTGTCCACAAAAGAGACAGCACAAAGAACTAGATACAGTACATCAGGCCATAAAGTATCTGAGACAGACAGCTCTATTCACTACAAGACCATCGACAATAGGATGGACGATATGTCTAATAGACTGGAGCAGGTGCAACAAAGTGTTGGTCATGAAGAGGAAAAAGATACGGAAGATGGTTATCAGGAGTGGGAAGACAGAGAAGACAAAATTGATAAGTATAAAAAATCTCACTCACATGTGGAGAAAGAAGATAAAAAGAAAAACAGATTATCGAGAAGTCTGAGAGGAAGGTCTACAGGTAAAGATGATTATGAAGAGGAATTGGAGGAGGAGATGGAGACAAGAGATACTATGTTAAATCAGTCAGACAGAAAAGGATCATATGAGAAGGAACAGATGAGTTCATCATATAGGCATAGATTAAGGTCCGCTGGAAGTAGTTCTGGTGAGAATGTGGAGCTGCAGTTAATACCTAATGTGCTAGATGATGCTGAAGATGTGCTGATGGAGGCAGACCAAGGTAACAGGGACTTCAACACTGATAGGTCCATATCTCCAAACAAGGGAAGTGTTGATATTCAAAGGTTAAGAGTTCAGACAAGTAGGTCAGGACACCATATAGAGGCTGTCCATCAGCACCAGTCAAGGGAAGGCTATGAAGGGGATAGAAGTGAGCAGAGTGTAGAGGGACTAAATGAAAAGAGTTCATCTATGGAACACATTTTCTCAGATGCTGATGTGCCTGAAAGACAGAATTCTGAATCTGAGGAGAAAAAAACAGATGAAAGGAAGAGGTCTCTATCTGAGAATAGGACTGAAGGTGCCAGTGAAGAGGATGAAGTTATGGAAGAAACTGCTGATGATATGGATCAAGATGTCACACAAAATCATTTGTCACAGCATGAGAACTCTCAAGACGAGACAACACCGTCAGTAAGTTATCGTTTACTGTTAACTAACTGCATTATCATTTTAGGCAAGTTGATGCAATGCTGAATTCAGGTATCCATAATAACTGTTTTATATAAATATTATACGGAATGGACTATTAGCACACTCCTATTTTATCACAATACTTTCATGATAAAACATGTTAAAATAAGACTACCCTTAAAATAGGTAGGTTTAGAGTTTTTCATTATTGTCACAGATAAAGTATTACTTGTCAGATTGAATCCCCATTGTTGATATCATGTACCAGTAAAAATATCAGGCTATTTATCACAATGGTATAATCTTTGTATAGTCCCCCAACTTCCATAGGGAACTGTATGTTATCTGTCTGCTCTTCTGGCAGTCAATGTGCCACATCAGTCTTACCTCATTTTCAATTGCCATAATTTGCTTACATGTAGATTTTGAAAGGGTTGATGCCTACTGAAATCACAGCAAATACCCTCATTTCTACAGCTTTATAGTCCTATGTTTAGTTTTAACCAGTAGTTTAGGAAGTATGGGATAGCATAAAATACTCTTCCAGTGATCAATTTACATGCAAGTTCCATGTCCTGTACACATAGAATTGATGGATTCATAGAATTTCTGGAAATACTTTAATTTTGCATTGTGGGATTGCTGTTAGCAATAAAGTTGAAAAGGATTCAAGCCAAGAAAATATATAGTAGATTGATCACAGCTTTTACATATTCTGTTTGGTGAATTGTTACAACTTTTCAGTAATCAGATTTTCAGAATCTTAAAATGAGATTGATATACGGTGTACATCTACATATGTATTTTCAGATAATGATCCAGTCAACCTATCACGATACACCAATTATGACAAGGTCTCCCAGAAAGCTTAGACGAAGCCTTATTGATACCATCAATGATAAAGATGGGGAAGAGGGCAATGGGAACACCAGTGTTGATGATATCCAGACCCCCACACCAATACCACCTCCTCTAAAGCAGAAAAAAATCTCATTTTCTTCTGGAACTAAGAAAAAGGAAACAAAGAAAAACTCTGGACCTGGTAAAGCATTTACCATTGTACTGAATATGTGGAATGTATTTTATCATATTCAGGAATGTAAATATTTGTAAATTAATTGTTTGTTCATCACTGACATCAGGACTGATTACCAGTAAAACCAATATGATTTGGTCTCACATCATTGCTGCATTTACCTTTGGTGAAGGTTTGTGTTTAGGTTGTGTACCTTTTGTGATGGTTGGGCTTAAGTGTTTGTTCTTTGGATGAACGTTTGGATTCAGGTTTTGTATTTTGATGAATGTTTGGGTAAGGTTTAGGTTAAGGACAAAGTCTCAAGTGACCTCTGGCAATCATCTTTTGTCGGGCGACGTCTGCCGTGTGTCATGAACAATTTACATGAATCACCTTGACCTATTTTCAAGGTTACAGAGGTCAAATGTGTTAAAATCTTCAAACGACTTTTTCTCAATAACAAAATGATCAAGGGTCTTGATGTTGTGCCAGTAGCATGCTGTGATGAAGGGCTACCAAGTTTGTTCAGGTGAATGACCTTGACTTACTTTCAAGATTACATATGCTGAAATCTTCAAACAACTTCTTCTCAAAAACTGAGAGGCCCAGAGACCTGATATTGGGGCTGTAACATTTTGGGATGAAGGACCTCCAAGTTTCTTTAGATGAATGAACATGACCTTTGATTAAGGTCATAGTTGTCAAATACAAGAAAATCATTTAAACAAATTCTCCTCAATGACCATAATTGGAACCTAAGATGACTGTTAATGCCTTATGTACCTCTTGTTACTATTGATAAATGTTTGGATAAGGTTTTGTGTGTTTGGTGAATGTTTAGGTAAGGGTTTTGTATGTTTGGTGAATGTTTAAGTTAAGGTTTTGTATGTTTAGTGAAGGTTTAGGTTAAGGTTTTGTATGTTTAGTGAAGGTTTAGGTTAAGGTTTTGTATGTTTAGTGAAGGTTTAAGTTAAGGTTTTGTATGTTTAGTGAAGGTTTAGGTTAAGGTTTTGTATGTTTAGTGAAGGTTTAAGTTAAGGTTTTGTATGTTTAGTGAAGGTTTAGGTTAAGGTTTTGTATGTTTAGTGAAGGTTTAGGTTAAGGTTTTGTATGTTTGGTGAATGTTTAAGTTAAGGTTTTGTGTGTTTGGTGAAGGTTTAAGTTAAGGTTTTGTATGTTTGGTGAAGGTTTAAGTTAAGGTTTTGTATGCTTGGTGAAGGTTTAAGTTAAGGTTTTGTGTGTTTGGTGAGGGTTTAGGTTAAGGTTTTGTATGCTTGGTGAAGGTTTAAGTTAAGGTTTTGTGTGTTTGGTGAAGGTTTAAGTTAAGGTTTTGTGTGTTTGGTGAAGGTTTAGGTTAAGGTTTTGTATGTTTGGTGAAGGTTTAGGTTAAGGTTTTGTATGTTTAGTGAAGGTTTAGGTTAAGGTTTTGTATGTTTAGTGAAGGTTTAGGTTAAGGTTTTGTATGTTTGGTGAAGGTTTAGGTTAAGGTTTTGTATGTTTGATTAAGGTTAAGGTTTTGTATGTTTGGTGAAGGTTTAGGTTAAGGTTTAGTATGTTTGGTGAAGGTTTAGGTTAAGGTTTAGTATGTTTGGTGAAGGTTTAGGTTAAGGTTTAGTATGTTTGGTGAAGGTTTAGGTTAAGGTTTTGTATGCTTGGTGAAGGTTTAAGTTAAGGTTTTGTGTGTTTGGTGAGGGTTTAGGTTAAGGTTTTGTGTGTTTAGTGAAGGTTTAGGTGAAGGTTTTGTGTGTTTGATGAGGGTTTAGGTTAAGGTTTTGTGTGTTTGGTTAAGGTTTAGGTTAAGGTTTTGTATGTTGGTTAAGGTTAAGGTTTTGTATGTTTGGTGAAGGTTTTGGTTAAATTGTTTTGTTTGGTGAAGGTTTAGGTTAAAGGTTTTTGTTTGGTGATGGTTTAGGTTAAGGATTTGTATGTGTGGTGAAAGTTTAGGTTAAGGTGTTTTGTTGTGTGAGGTTTAGGTTAAGATTTTGTAGTATCTTACCACACTTCTTAAGTTACTGATTGTACATATGTCCTTCCAAAGTCTAGTTTTTAATACTGTTGACTGACACTAGAATTTTCTTTTGTTATCATATGTTATTTAACCACAGTGAATGGGAAAAGGAGGGAACTGTCTTTCTGTTTTTACCAAAACTATATTTTCTCAATGATAAGTACAAGCTACTGTAAAACTCTTGAAGGGTAATGACTTTATATAGATATCTGTATCTTTGTAGTACACACACTTAGGCTATGGCAGGGTGAAATGGAGAAACGTTCCAAGGGATCTGTCCTTGACCTGGATATTGTTCTTGATGACCTTGAACAAAAACTTGAAGCAGCCAGGTATTAGTTTATATAAACTTTGATACTGTATGCAGAAAATGTTTGTACTGAAATATGGATAGTAAATCTCACAAGTATTAATAGAAACCTTCTAGTATCAACTTTTTATTTAAATGTTACATTGACATAACAGTTACTTTATTTCAGTACACTTTGAATTATATGATAAAACATTTCAACATTGTGATTAAAAATTCATAGTTAACATCATGTTATTATTACAATACACACTACACATGATTTGTGTCAATACATAGTGGCCTTCCTGAGAGACAGGGCCCTGTTAGAGAGGTATTGGCTGTTTGGAAGTTTAATGTAAGATATATGTGTAGAAGGAGCTAGTTAAATCATTGAAACCTAATGCTGATCTGATTAATCTGAAAACTGAATTAATTCAATGCAAGTGTTTTTAACCCATCATCATAACAGTCCTGGATTATAATATAAATACATGCCCTGAGAGCATTACATGCCTACCGTGGAGTAGATATGAGTGTTTCACAGATTTTACTTTCTCATCTAGAAGTGGAAAAGATTTACCAGCCATTAAGAGGAAGGAATATCAGCTGCTGAGTTATGTTCGGAAATCAATCACTAATACAGTAAGTATCACTTTTTATCTTGTTACTTCATCTGAACAAGACAAGGTCATATTAGAGGAAAGAAAGGAGAGATACATGTAAAATGAGGTGGACATCTTATTGATAAATTGTAAATATTGCCTTTAATGGGAGACTCGGGAATACATGAAGGTCCAGGAGGATGCCCAAAGTACTTATGGTGACATCTTGGTCATTCAGGTCCAGGAGAATGCCTAAAGTACTTATGGTGACATCTTGGTCATTCAGGTCCAGGAGGATGCCCAAAGTACTTATGGTGACATCTTGGTCATTCAGGTCCAGGAGGATGCCTAAAGTACTTATGGTAACATCTTGGTCATTCAGGTCCAGGAGGATGCCCACACCATCTTGGTCATTCAGGTCCAGGAGGATGCCTAAAGTACTTATGGTGACATCTTGGTCATTCAGGTCCAGGAGGATGCCTAAAGTACTTATGGTAACATCTTGGTCATTCAGGTCCAGGAGGATGCCCACACCATCTTGGTCATTCAGGTCCAGGAGGATGCCTAAAGTACTTATGGTGACATCTTGGTCATTCAGGTCCAGGAGGATGCCCAAAGTACTTATGGTGACATCTTGGTCATTCAGGTCCAGGAGGATGCCCAAAGTACTTATGGAGACATCTTGGTCATTCAGGTCCAGGAGGATGCCTAAAGTACTTACGGTGACATCTTGGTCATTCAGGTCCAGGAGGATGCCCAAAGTACTTATGGTGACATCTTGGTCATTCAGGTCCAGGAGGATGCCCAAAGTACTTATGGTGACATCTTGGTCATTCAGGTCCAGGAGGATGCCTAAAGTACCTAAAGTACTTACGGTGACATCTTGGTCATTCAGGTCCAGGAGGATGCCCAAAGTACTTATGGTGACATCTTGGTCATTCAGGTCCAGGAGGATGCCCAAAGTACTTATGGTGACATCTTGGTCATTCAGGTCCAGGAGGATGCCCAAAGTACTTATGGAGACATCTTGGTCATTCAGGTCCAGGAGGATGCCTAAAGTACTTACGGTGACATCTTGGTCATTCAGGTCCAGGAGGATGCCCAAAGTACTTATGGTGACATCTTGGTCATTCAGGTCCAGGAGGATGCCTAAAGTACTTATGGTGACATCTTGATCATACATTTCTATTCCTTTTAAAGCTACCAGCTGGATATCATTGAAGTGACTTTGTAATAAGCATCTGTATACAATGTAGATTGTTATGAAGAACTACTGCTTTAGTGACCATGTTAACATTTGTCATGTCAGAATGTATCAGTATGTACATTACATTAACTCAAGGGTGTACTCAGCACCACTCAAATCAAGACAAGGAGACTTGGGATTGCTTAATTTAAAAATAAATTTTTAAAAAGAGCAAAAATTTTATGCTCAATATAAACTTCAATAATTTTTCCTTTTCAATAATTTTGACCCCAAAATTTGTACAAATGTACATCGCTTTAATGATGTCTTTTGCGAAAATTTTCTTGTGTTACCCGATAGACTACTTGATTTAAAGATTCAAAAAAAAGAATGGCAGAATGTACATATTTATGGAATTTTTGTTTAATATTTGATTAACCTTATTGCAAAATATTGAAACAACATTACCCTAGTAACAGAATGTCAAGTTCTTTGTATTGAACAAGTTCAGTTATTTATTCATTTATTTTTCATTTCAGATAGAAGCTGTTCAAGACATTAGACAGAAGCGTTCAGACATTATACGGGTATGTTTAGTTCCATTTCAATTGTCAAATTAATGTTTAACAGAAGATTCATTTCTTCGTAATTCATTCCTATTTTGCTTGCCAGTATGTTCTGATGATTGAATAAATCTCTGTTGCAGGCAAGAAGAAACATCAAAGAGAGCAGGAATGAGTTGTCCCATCTACAACAGAAAAACATCAGGTTTGTTCCCCTATTTAAGATATTGAGATGTGCTTGTACAATTCAGTTTGTCTGTTCTACCCATCTGTCTGTCAGTCGGTCTGTGTACATATCAAAGATGAGACAATAATCTTAACAATTAAGAATTCAATTTTTCGATGTGAATAATTTTTTCTTCTCCTTCATGGTTTTCTTAGGAGTTATGCCCCTTTTATTATATTGTGAGAAAAAATTGTGCAAGTTGAATTCTGAAGCTTTGGGTAAAATTAAGATATAATTACATATACTGCTTTACCTTATTGCAATGAGAGATATGAATTTGATGTTAAATCTTCAGTTTTTCTTTTACTCTAGACTTTCTGACAAGCTAGAAAACAAGGAAAATGAAAAGAAATATCGGGAGAAGTTACTGAATGACTGGATAACTGGCTTTGAAAATTTGATGTTAGCATCTCACAAGATCAAAACTAATCCAGATGTGAAGGTAAGCCCTTTATTACCTAGATGCATCTCTCATATTTTTCAAAATTTAAAACTGGCATCTTTATTCAATAAGGTTATAAGGTTTGGTTCATTTGACATTTCAAACATTTTTTTTTTCTTTTTTAATATTAGGCTAGCAATTGGTTTGAAGTGTCTAAAACTGAAAACCAACTGCTAGATTTTTCAAGTTTCACTATCAGAGAGGATCTTTTACATTACTTTGGTATCTCCACTTACCATTCCCTTACAATTTTTGCCCAAAAATATATGGTTTCCAGCGTGTCCTCGCTTCTGACATTTCATTTCAAAGAATTTTATGTACATGCTCATTAAGACCTAACAAGTAGTAAGTTTCCTTCAATGTTCCATACTCTTGGTGCAGAGTGTTTGGGCTAAATAGGGGAAAGAAGGTTAGTTTCTTTAAAATCCTGTCTTCTATCAGGTCAGGTATTGAAACCAAATTTTTGTCTTAAGCATCTCTAGGTGAAGGTTTTTTTTTCATTATTTTTCTTTTCTTAATTGATATATATGTAGAATCTGTACTATGGCAATGTACTATGACCCGTGGTAAGATAAAGCTATATAGGGTATGGAGCTTCCATTGTTGAAGGTGAGTTGAATTCATATATGTATATATATTATCTGCCCCCACCTTCCCACAGGGCTCATTAATGGAAATAAAGTTGTAGAGAAATATTACCTTAATACCTAGCAAATGTTACCTCTGAGCCTCTCCATTTACCCTCATCCATCCATGGGTCTGTCCCAATGCTATGAAACAGTTTGTTTACTGGAGATTTATCCATTATGTTTGGAGATTCGGAGAAGCTTTTTTCCCCACTTGAATTTATTTCATAAAATGGTTAAAAACCCCAAAATATACGGTTTACTCCTGAAAATTTCTTTCTCAGTAGATCAGTTTTCTTCCCAAGATTAGATGAAAAGGCTCCAGATGATGGGGGAAAATCCCTGGATATCTTCAAATCTGGTGATGGTTTCAAACTACAGTTTTACAGTTTAAGTTTGAATTCTGGTCAAAAATCCAAATTTGGGTTGAGTTATTGACCTTTGCATCTAGAATGTTGGACAAGATGGCAGTAATCTAGACTTTTTCAGTTATACTAGGAAATAATGACTTCAAGTTTGGCATATGGCTTCAACTTACACTGTTGCAGATTGATGTCACATCTTAACTGAAAAAAATCCAAATTCAAATGGAGTAATGGCCCTTTGCACTTGCAATATATGGCAAAATGGCAGTTTTTCTGATATTTTTGCCTAATGATCAGATATAATGACTTTAAATTTTTGTGTGTGGCTGCAACACTCAGGGCAAGAGATGTAGTGTGAATCCTGGTTGATTGGTTCAGTTTTCCAGACTTTGAAGATAGAAACTAACGCATTTGGATTTACAGATCAAATTATCCCCTATGCGATATATGTCAGTATGCAAGGGGGTTTCAGGGGTATTCATCTATATTATGACATTTCTAGTCTAATATCCATTGGCCATTTCTTGTGAATTATTTTCTGTTTACAAATAACACCTTTTTATTACAGAAAATGGTTGCTTTTGGCTATATACCCAAGATAAATTGAGGATTCAACATAGAAATCAAGACCAGAGATGTACATACCTGCTTGTAATGGATTTCCAAAAGCCACTTACCAGCAATCTTGGTTTCTATATGGAATACATTTGATTGTTAAGTTTTACCCAAAACACTGAGAAAGGATTCAACACTAGATAAATGTTAGTGAAGTATATACATGTAGATTTGTGTCAATTCAAATTTTACCAGTAGGTAAGATGTAACATGATAATCTGCCTGCTTTTCTACTGATAAAATAGACTTTGGTAAAAACAGACATATGACAAAAAATAACAAATCATCAAAATTATACAATTAAGCTTGTCATATTTTGTATCTTTCAATTTTTAAGTGGGTGAACCACTTCTATTTCATATGAAACTTTTAAAATTCAGGAAACAATATAATATGCACCAATAGAGATAAATAATGAGCTTAATTAAGGTGTTGACCTTAGGTGAACTCTGTTAATACACTGTCATAAATATATGTTTAATTTTCCAATATTTGGTATGGTTTATTTGTCTGTTTCTGATAAACTAAGTCTTTCATTTAGTGATCTTTGATTACAGACTACAGACAAAAATGAAAAGTACAAAGACAAAAATAGAATAGAACTACCATTTATATGTGATCTGTTGTTTATTGTACTTACTTATTCATTAACTAAAGATTGTTGATTGTATATTGAAAATATATGTTACTGAAATAAACATGTATTTATAGTCCTTTGTTGAGTTTGAAAATGGTTTTATTATACATGTGTTCCTCTTTGATATTAGAGCGTCCCATTTTTGTTTCACCAGTGAATCACTATAACAGTAAAACAAATGATGGTGCTACTTTTTGCTACTGGCGACTACAATGATGTCTTCAACACTTCATTTCCTAGTTTTGCATTTTGATGTGTTTCTTGAAATCAATAGATAAATAAATAGTTTTCCTTAGGATAGGTATATGAATATTATATGAGTTCTCATTTCATACATTATATGTGATTTATGAAACAATCTAAAACATTACCATTTAAAGTGAACTGAAATAAAAAAAATTGTGAACAGTTTCATCAATCACATGTGAAATGGAAAATATTTAAGATCTTTTCATCACGTAATGAACTATTTTTATAAATATTTCCATATCAAGGTTGAAATAATCTTGACTCTATATCAAAGGTCACCATTATGATGTCATAATCTGTGATTAGCCAAGATTGTGTTACATCGTTTTCTTTTCTGCTTCTGACCTTACTTTTGATGTCACAGTAGGTCATATAACATTGGATCCTATAAATTGTTTTACTGAATAACAACACAAACGACAATCATGTGATAAGTAACTGAATCAGATTGTTCCTTGGATGAAGCACTACAAAAAAGTAAATGACCTTGATCTCTTTTCAAGATCACAGCTCAGATTTCCTTAAACCTTTAAATGACTTCTACTCATGAACTAAACGGCTTAGAGGCATGATAGTAGGCTGATATGTTTCTAGGATGAATCCCAACAAAATCCGCTAAAACAAATTACCTTGACTTATATTCAAGGTCACAGAGGTCAGAATCTTAAAACCTTTAAATGACTTCTTCTCATTAGTGATATTTGACTAGTATGTTCCTTTTATGAAGCCTGACAAAGTTTGTGAAAATAAATTATCTCGACTTATATTTAAGGTCACAGGAGTCAAATTTGTTAAAACATTTAAATGACTTTTCATAAACTTAAAAGCCTTGAGGCAAAATATTTGGCTAGTATTTTGTTAGGAAACGAAATGACCTTGACTTATATTCAAGGTCACAGGGGTCAAATATGATGGTATATACCAGGTGTGCGCTGCAGGCCCATTGGGCCTCTTGTTCTTTGTAACAGACGAATAGGTGCTATGACATCTATGTGGATTGTCTTATTCACTTCAAATTCAATGTATAGTCATATCACCCAGAAGGCCCTGCTAAATTTGTATGGCCCCAATTGAAAGAATGAGGGCATATTGTTCTTGTGCTGTTTGGTGTCAACATTAACCTTGCCCATAACTATTGATCTAACAATTGAGATAGGGCTTTGCATATTTGGCATGTCTGTTCTTTGTGGTAAGATCTTTCTGGTGGTACAAAAAAAAGTTTTGACCATGTGACGTTGAATGTGACCTTTGACTTAAATTTGAAAAAAAAAACAAACTTTGCTATAGCTATTACACAGTAAGAGGTAGGATTTAATATTTGGCATGTGTGTTCCTTGTGACAATACCACTATAAAGACACAAGTGTTTCACAAACTTTGCAGACAATAAGCACATGCCTTACTCAGTACAGTTTTAATGTCCCACTTCAGAATTGTGTTGCCACTGGGGGAAATGCTTTTCTGACTGCAACCTGACAAAACTCTGATTTTCCGAGACTGAGAGGTAAAAGGAAACCATACATCATCAGAAATGTGACTACAATTATGTTAAAACCAGGTGAACACTTCTGGCCCAATAGACAATTTGATCTGTTACTACATACTTCAGCCAAAACGTTTCATTAACTTCTACATATGGCCCACTTATATGTTGGTGAATGATTATCAGACTGGTTCAAGGTCACAGTGATCTAATACACGTATGTAAGTGGCATTTTTAGGTCATATGACCTATAGCCATCGTGTTTCGTCCGTCGTTGTCCGCCGTGCGTAAACTTTAAACATTTCAAACTTCTCAAGTTGCACCAATGGGATTGAGCTCAAACGTGTCTGAAATGATCCTGAGATGGTCCTGACCAAGTGTTTTTATTTTTCAGGTATGTCTGAAATCAAAGATGGCCGCCATCTTGAAAAACATGTTTTTAACTTCTCCAGTTCCACTGGTGCCAATGAGCTAAACATTAGTGGGAATGTTAAGGAAAGGTAGTCAACATAGTGTTGTCATTTTTTCAACCTTGTCAAAAGTGTGAGGCCATTTTGTAATATGATTGCACAATCATGGTTTTCCTGTGCAACACCTATTTCAAACTTCTTCTCAAGTTTCACCAGTGGCTCCAACTTGTCTGAAATGGTCCTGACCAAGTGTTGTTTTTTTTCGAGTATGTCTGAAATCGAGGATGGCCGCCATCCTGAACAACCTATTTCAAACTTCTCCAGTTTCACTAGTGGGACTGAGCTCCAAATTTATTGTCAAAAAAATATGTAACACCTGTTACACTTACCTAATCCTCACCAAAACTATCATCAGCATCATGGAAAACAGTGTCTTAGTAAGATTTAATTCCAAGTAGAAAAAATAACCCTTCCTGCAGGAAGTTTTTGTAGTCAGATGACTGTTAATGCAATGGGCCTCTTGTTTCTGATCGTAATGGTGCGTTGAAGGTCACTTTGGACGATTATGAAATATTTAATTTTCTTCAAGAAGATCAAGAAAAGGCAAGCAGTAGGAAAAATTCTGACGAAACAAGATACATCATGCCGAAACAAGACAAATTCTGAAGACGGAAGACAGATTTTATCGTAACAAGATGAAATGGATGAAATAAGAACTCTTGCCAGAATGTTTTTTCTTCTGTAGCATACTTCTATAATATCCTGATAAAATGAATGACCACGGTCTGCTTTTAACTGAAGGTTATTTTAACAACTTAGATTGAATAACCCAAAGCCTATTGTCATACTTATTTTGATCAAAGACTATCAAACATTAATAATAATAAAAAGTTTCATGTTTACACTAAATAAACAACTTCTGAAAAAATAAAGGTCGTAATTTGTTGCTTCTAAATTGCTGGGTGAAGGACTTCACCTGACGAGGAGGACTTAGATCCCCATTCAATATCACAGAAGTCGGTTGTTTAAATAAATTTGAATTGCTTGTTTTTGTAATATATAATAAGGAAAAATATATTTGACTTGTGTTTAAAGACTTCTTTTCAAGGTCGAACTCTCTACCGGGATTTAATAATAATAATTTGTATGTGCTGTCTAAAGCATTTACAAGGTTATAACGGTTAATTTTTATACATGTTAAACACCGTTGCATGAAAATGATTAATCACACATGCAGTTGGTACCACACGTACAGTTTACGGATTACCTTCAGTAAGAAAATTCAATGTGACCGATACCAGCTGTGTATACGGTATCATTTATCAAAGGAGCACGTTCATTGCATGTTCGTACAAAATGAGTCTAGTTAATAGAAACATTAACACTGAAATTCTAAAGTTGAAAAAAGACAATAACATTCGATATGTACACAGAATTAGTATTGTTGGTCATCGTTACGACAAGCTGGTGTTGAGAGTGAACCGTGGCATTACTATTTCATAAAGAACTATACAAAAGACACTTGGTTATAAGGAAGTACAATTCAACCAGATTTATGAAACTTCAAACAGTTAAGTAAACCAAAGCACTCTCAATTTGGCGATGATCACGTTCGCGACAGGGGAGGTCATATAATTGCGAATAAAAATTATATCTAAATTAATACCAAAATGGCCATGTGGGTGTCGTGTTCAAGGTTTTAAGTGATTGTGACCCAAACCTGTAAAAAGACCCGATAAATATGTCTGTATAGCGGTACACTGTCCCCGGTATCGACAATGTGTTTTAATTCGTGACAATTCGATATAACAATACATCCAGTCCTTTTTATCTTTAAGTATTGATATTTGTTTCCTTTCATCACGGGACCTATAAATGTGTTTTGTGAAAATGTTTGATGTGAGGGACAATTTTCTTTTATAATCATCTTTAACATAATGTATGTCATCATTGGAATATAACTGTATTGTGTGGTGAATTGAGCAAGATCATCGACATTCGTAAATAGTCGGTCGATACAACAATATTACACAATGATAAGATTTATCAATAACGTCGGATAATTGTGGTGATTTAGTTTGCTGTACTGTCGGGATGTTGTCTCCTTTTACTCTGTTGAACACAAAGGAGTATTTCTTTAGCTGATGTCAGAGTCGTATGATCTCTTGTAAGATTTAGAAGAATTTCGTTTCTTTAATGTTACATTACTTCCATTTTTATTTTCAAATTATAAAAAAAAGATGACAAACTATTTAATTTGATGTAAAGCTGCAAATACTCATTAAAAATTGTATTTATTTATTAATTTATTTTGTAAATGACAGGTTGTCTGTATCAAGAGACATGGAAAAATAAATGTCATATTTTGAATCCAGTTTACGTTTAGTAAGAATTCAAAATGTCTGGTTTACACCAATTCCTTCCTTTGTTTGTGATCAATTTCTCTTTATTATAAATAGGCACGTCACTTTGCCTGTAGATAATCCTCTCGTAAAGCTAATGTTTAGAATCATTAGAAGGGATTAAGTTCCTTTGCTGGTGCAATAAAATTGTAAATACCCCATACATATGTATATGTATTAAGTATATATATACAAAGAAGTAATAGTGACAGTAGTGACGAAATTAACTTGTCAAATTGTCGTGGCATTTATATAAGTGTGTATCCCAGAGGGATAATTACCATAGAAAACATTTCGTATTCAAATAACTAAGCATTATCAATGTTTTATTTTCATTTTTCGGGTTTCTTTAAGCATTGACCCAGTAACGGGAGCTGTTTAAGCACCCTGTTAAAACACGACGCAATGTATTGTTATGGTCAGGTAAATGCGGTATATTAAAGTTGAGTGTTTGCCAACTCCATGTGAGAAAATCTCTATACAAAGCTGACATATATGAACGGAATCTTTCAGAGTTGTCGGATTTCACTCTGGCATTTAAATGTAGTCTAAATCTATGGATTCCCGTGCTCGCTTACCACCCGAGCCGTTTATTGATGAAATCAAACCATCTACTTCAAAATACCCTCAGTCATTTTGAGACATCTTTGAACTGATGGATTCAGGTTTTGGAAATCAGTGTTGTAGTACTGTGGCGTATGTGGGATAATTACTAATTCAAGGAGGACTGAACTGTGATAAAGTAATGAGGTGTTGATCAACATTCAGTTTAGTCCTCACACTGATTATGAAGAAACAACAGAGGTAAGTTAATTAAAAGTGAAATGAAGGATACAAAACAAAACTCTGACAATAATATGAACACAGCAGTTATTTGTTTTCGCCTTCTTTGTATTATGAGCCATTGCCGAAATCGAGATCTACAGATTCTGATAAGTCGTATCAGCCCTTTAAATTCTAGTTCGGATTTTGTTCAGTGTGAACGTGGACCTTTCACTGCTTTATTAAGAGTTGTGATTTAAAACTCTACGCTCTGTTATATACCGATACTTTGATTGTTACTGCTTAGGAAGTGTGTTATGTGTGGAACGAATTAGACATGCTTTACCAAGTTAAATTCCGTCACAAAAAGCTCACTTTTATAATTCATTTCTTTCCATAATTAAGGAGTTTTTGGTTTACGATTGTGTTTTATCGTGTTCTGAAAGGCGTACAAACCATGATGTATCAAGTAGATGAATAAATAGACGAATAGATGTGATAGGGCAATTTAAAACATTTTAAGATCTATGACCTTGTTAAGATTCCGTTACAGATTTGAAACATTGTTCTTTTCGTTAATTGATCAGCCGAGTCACTTTACTGGTTCATTAAGCGTGTTTACACTGATAGAACTTACTATATAGAGGAGGAATGACTATTACAATGAACACACAAGGAATTTTAGAGATATTTACTAACATCTGTTTCTCGCACCAGTCTATATGACATTTGTACTTTCAGCAGTGCTGAGCCTCATTACAATAAGATGATTCGACTCATGGCTTTGTTTTCTGATAATGTGCCTTTCACTGCTGTGAACAATTTTGGAGCAATAATACGTTATTGGACTGAATTCCTGGTCGATAATCAGTATCTACCAATATGTTTCTGGTAGATTGTACCTGTTTTGATAGAGCTATATATATTTTTAGAGAGATGTTGATGAAGACGAAGAGCCTGTCAGGAACATAACAATTAGTTGTTTACATCCTTCAAGTTCACATATAGATATTTTCATGATATATAAAAGGACACTACATACAAGTTCTCTTTTTCTCATCAGCTGCTCATAGCGATTAATGTTTATATGAACAAAAAACGACTTCTAAATTGTTGTCCTTCACTTGAATGTTCTTTTTCCTGAAATTGAAACCCCTGTTTTCCCTTCCTACGGTGTAAACATGTGATATAACTTATTGATATGGATATTGAAGAAAACTCGACACATTTGGTCGATATGATCTAAATATCAATGTATTGTTCGTGAATGTTCCCTGTTGTATGGTTGTCGCTACACCGGACCTCTCTTTGAGAACGTGGTATTCGTCATCTTACCTTTATAAAGCATACGGACGTTTTATCGAAACAATGTATCGAAATTGACATTAACATTTCTAACAATTTTTTGAAACATAAAACATAAATAGTAAAATGTTTTACTTTATGTTCAGATCCGGTTCATAGTCTTTTAGTGAATCAATAAATCCGGTCTTAGAGTATCATTGAACTTATACTGTTTTTTTTATATGGGCAGAATGGACAACCACCTGTGATGATTAAATGGATATTTATTAAAGATGCTTAGATCTTTTAAAATCTAAAGAAGTTTCAACATAAATCGGAACGGTCATGTTACTGAAAATTCTAATTTGGTATCATGTTTTTCTCGATATTGAAGTATTTGGTCGTGTTGTATAGTAGCCTGTTTGCAATAAACACAACTTTCAATTAGTTATAATTTAAATCTACAGTGAAACCTTATCAGACAGGTGAGACCGGTGAAAAAACATACAGGTTAAACCGGTGAAAAACATACCAACTACACAAATTTATTCGTGTCTGAAATGAGCCTTCGTGATCAAATCCTCAGTCATTTACACAAATGATTAGTTCTCCAATTTAGAATTTATGAGAGTTTATTTTGAGCATTGGTATTTGAACGTTGAATAAAAATCGTTACAAAAATATACAAAAAATAAATACACGAAAGACTCGGTAGATGTCGCTGAGATCACGGAACTATATCATTAGAGTAAGTCATCGTGGTTATTTTTATCTTAATCATGAAGTTTCTCAGAATACCAGTTCTAAATGTTATACTTATAAAGTAATCTTTAAAGGGAATATTTATCATTTATTAACGAACGTATTTCAGAGCTAGATTACTGACTCCAAACATTGTATGACGTCACAGAAGTCGCGGAATCGCATCTTGGCACAAAGTTAATTAGTGCTAATTAAGCCAATAAATTCTTTTGTTATTTTTTTCACTTTTATAATTATCATAAAATAAAGTCGAAATTTCGTGTTATTAAACAGGTTATTGAAAGCCAAAAAGCATAACATAGATAACATAAGACAGTTCAAGATTTTAAAAAATATAATTATAATTATTCACGCTTTATACAATAAAACCCGCTATATTTCCGTGTACACTCCAATTCCGGTATTTGAAATACAAGCTTGATGACGTATATGTAGATGATTATAAGCTTATAGACTTGTTGATGGCATTTAAGTAGATTGATAAAAAAATTAAGTAGTTGTTACTCTTTCGATTATACCATGTGACTAATGCCGTAATGACTCATGAAATACACGATAATGTTGCTTCGAGGCGTCAACACAATGTGTTTTGTCGATGTACACGTTTTGCGCATGGACACTTGTTTTCCTTGATTAAGAAGTGAATGCTCCAGAGAGTAACTTTGTATATGTTTCTTAAAGGGTTTTTAGTTCAACATCGATCTTTGAATCAAGAATTCTACAGCGTTGTTAAATAAATAAATAAATAAATGAAATCAAAATGTTGAAAATGTAGGTCGCTGCTTTGAATAATTTTCATGTTCAATGTGCTTTTCAGTCTCACAAAGATTGAAATGGGTGCCAGCACATCATTAAATATGAGTTCCAGGATTTTTGGGAGTTGTTATTCAACAGTTTTATTTATCGAATTAGAATCAAGTACTCCTGGTGTCTACACGTGGTGTAATCATCCCGGTGTCTACACGTGGTGTAATCATCCCGGTGTCTACACGTGGTGTAATCTACCAGGTGTTTACACGTGATGTAATCATCCCGGTGTCTACATGGTGCAATCATCCTAACTACACGTGGTGTAATCATCCAGGTGACTGCACGTGGTGTAATCATCCCGGTGTCTACACGTGGTGTAATCATCCTGACTACACGTGGTGTAATCATCCTGACTACACGTGGTATAATCATCCATGTGACTGCACGTGATGTAATCATCCTGACTACACGTGGTGTAATCATCTTGGTGTCTACACGTGGTGTAATCATCCCGGTGTCTACACGTGGTATAATCATCCAGGTGACTGCACGTGGTGTAATCATCCTGACTACACGTGGTGTAATCATCCCGGTGTCTACACGTGGTATAATCATCCAGGTGACTGCACGTGGTGTAATCATCCTGACTACACGTGGTGTTTTATCATCCTGACTACACGTGGTGTAATCTTCCTGGTGTCTACACGTGGTGTAATCATCCTGACTACACGTGGTGTAATCATCCTGACTACACGTGGTGTAATCTTCCCTATTTTCATCATACTTCCAATGTTTGAAGTTTACGTGGTTAGAGGATATATGTCATAAACTACTACTTTTTGAAAGGTTTTTGTTTTTTAACAGTAAACTATGAATATCGACCACTTTATGATAAAATTCTTCTTCACAAAGTAGTGACATACATTGATATCAGTACGTGTATCAGGATGATGGAGATACTGTTACATTACTGGAACTCTATATTTAGTCGTGTTTACAGATTTCGTTAGAGTTCGATGTTCATGGATTAAACAATACAAACAATGCATATGCTACTTGATTTACGTACTGAAGCACGTTGTGATTTGTCACAAATTCACGAATACTAACAAATGGATTTGACAGTTCCGAATCGTCTAGGAAGTTTTGTACACGTGTACAGCGACAATTCAACATGTGACACAGAGCTGTGCTATATAAAAAGTCAATTACAGTGATAGTGTAGGCGTCTGTCCTGTTTTACCAGACAATGCAGTAATGAATGATAATTCATGGTAATTTCAACTGTAAAGAAATCCTGTGTCAAAGTGTTGTCTCTAATTACAGCTTCATTGATAAACCTGCTAGATCGGATTACTTGTATAAGATTAACAATGCAGAAACCGAAGTCTACATTTACATCAAAATTCAATCAAAGTTTTATGATGCACTTTATATAGGAGTGCGTGAGTTCACAACCTTTGTCTCAAAGGTAGAATATCTGAAAAAAAATCGATTCTTGTAATAGCTATCAGTAAGTAAAGTTTGATGAAAAAAAAATGATTGTATTGATGACAAAACAGACATTTATTTTCCCAGGTATGTGTATATTGTTACCTTTCTCGTGGGTTTATGTAGAGTTATTTCCCTTCGAAAGTTACATCTTTTAACCTTTTTTTCAAATAAGTACCCGGATATTTGTTTTGGATTTTTTTTTCATATTCATTGCATTTTCAACAGTAACGGGGTTTGACACAAATTGTAGAACTAATACAAAGCCATTTCGCCATAAAGATATGTCTGTATTTCTTGAGGCGATGGTTCTTTCCCATAATGGACTGAAATCTAAAACCCTAAATCGAATGCTCACTGCTGCACAATCAAGGTTTCTTTATCATCAAGATTTCCTTCCCAATTCCTAATTCAAAATTGTAACGTATAGTTAAACTCAAAATATTGAAATTTATACCCAACTTCCTCGTCAGGTGTTCAGTATTACTTCGTTTTTTATACAAAATGGAATTTCTGTTTCAGAAATCGGAAAAGAAAACAGAAAGAATTTAGACATCTTGTTGAGCGATTTCGGCAAATGCAACATCATGAAGAAGTTGCACAAGAAAAAGAATTCAAGAGGAGGCGTGACAGTCGAGAAAGGCGAAAGGTCGCCGTCAAAACTGACCGAAGACTTGTGAAATACAAAAGAATATATGTTTTATCTTCTCTGGCATTAGTAAGTGGCTCCATCATGACATTTGGGAGTGTCGTCAAGGGGTTAGGAGAAGGATCTGTTCTATGGACGCACAGATCCGTTTTTATAATCTGTGGGCCGGTAACGTTAGGATTAGGTGTGCTATTGCTGTTTCTCGCGACTGGTCTTGTTGTCGAGCGACAGGAAAAGCTAAAAAAGCGTATATTAGACATGGGAGACAGTTTCAATTCACACAGTTTCAACGATAGAAAGAGTTCTTGCCATACAAACAGTTCTTCAAAATTATTGCTGTCACGGGAAGTATCTTCTTCCGGTTCAAGTGCAACAGACACTTCCGGAAGTTCGTGTAACCGAGCGAAAAGTAGTGATTATAGGTCAAAAATAGGACGACAGGCTTCGGAGGAATCTGAAATGGAGATTTTCCTAGATTCCAGTAATTCTTCAGTGGGGTCTTCAGGATTGTCATTCTCTGCAAAATGGGAAGCTTTGTCAAACTTTCCAAAACAAGGAAATACAAATAATCTAAAACAGAATGAAGGTTTTATTAAAAAAGACAACATTCCCGCTTGTGTTCCTAGACGTGGAATTGTGCCAAAAAATACAGTTTCGACACTAGAGACGTGCATCATTGTTAACGAAATAGATCAACCGAAAGACAGAGGTGTTACCTGTGTTTCATCGCCGATTGGAAAACAAACTAGCATTTAAACACAAAATTCTCATTGTATGTGCTCCGAAAAAAAATCAGAAATTCTCAAAATCTTGGCTGGAAAGACTTCTTTGGAACAGAAATGTAATGACATTTTATTGATAGCAAGAGTATTTGAAAAGTGGTACATCTAAGATGCGTGTAATATTTTTGACAATGTTATCGCATCAGGAATTTAGGCAGTTGTGATGGTGAAGGACATCTTAACATTCAAATCGTTAATTAGAACTTGGCGTAAAGATAATGTCTTCCATTTTATGTTCATTATTCGACGGATAACCATATAGATAATATTTACTTGATAAATATTTTTTACAAACTATAACTTCCGATTTATATCGCTATTACCTTTCTAGAGATGATAGAGTTGTTAAATCACATAAGTTCAGACATAACTCCTGAGGCTAACGAACGCCGCTGGCGTGGTTTGCATGCATACATTGCGCTGATTTGTTCATTATCGCCAAACATCCCTAAAAAAGAAGCGTCAGACAACCATGTCTACAAATTTATATCATGTGAATAAAACGATAAATGTTGAATTTTCATAAATTCTAGATTTAATTCATTGCAAACTATCTGTCGATTCCAATAACCGTCCTAATATTTTATTACGTTCAGTTATCTCACCTACCACTCGTCACATCTCGGCGGATTGAAGAGTGCCGGAATAAGCCGAGTTTAACCGAATGAGAGAATTCGGTTAATTCCAGTAAGCCAGATAGTGAGTCTCATGTTCTCATTTTGTTGTTGTTCATTGCATTAGAACCACTGTTTTAGATAAATAAAAAGTAAATGACACGAACAGAAATGGCTAAGAGTGCTTGATTTATAAGTACCGTCATCAAACAATAAATTGAAATAAAACAGTGTTGTTGAAACTTGAAAAGATGTACTAACATTTTATTTTTTGTAATATCAAATATTGGTGCATTTCAAATCTAGTAGTCAAGTGGTATAATGTTAGAATATAACTTGTGTTTTATCCACAAATATTTTCATAGTGTGGTCATGGATGATAAATATGTGTATTTAATTTCCATTGTTCAATATAAGTCGCCTACTTCCGATCAGCGACCTCGTTAAAGCTGGCTGTGACACTTATTGATCAATAGTCGAGTTGAAAACAATCACGGACATTGCCAAGATTTTACTTTTTAACTGCACCCTTCAATCATATGAAAAAGACATGCGGAGTATGATATAGGTGAAAGTTTAGCGTAGTTTGAAGTCATAATATCAACTACAACATTGACCACTTGAGTGCGTTATAATATACCATCATGAGGGACATCGAAGAGACCCGTAGGACATTGAATCAATGAAAAAAAGTCATTTTTGCGTATTCCTGTTCAGGGATACTAGTCAATAAAAAGTCTTCTCAAAATGGCGACGATATTGTGCACGTAGTGCAATGTTTGTCATCGAAAGCGACGTCTCGGTAAGGAACAGACTGTTGTCATAAAAATATTTATAGATGTTGTATATCTGTAGAAACAAGGCCATGGTTAGTATTTAGCCCATTTAGATAAACTCGACGACAGACTGAACAATTGATCATATTTAGTTTTAAATTGGAGATTCGAACCCAAAAGGACACGTGCTCTACTTTTAATTTGTAATCGCCATGTCCTATCAGTGCTATACAAAATCAGAGTCAAATGACCGCAGATAAATAGTGGGTCATGAAATACACGGGTCAGCAACTTATGTTGTATCATCTATTTTAAGATGTCGTTAACGTCAAATTACCCTTTCTGAAAAGAAACTTTCAACTTTTGATAGACCAAGAGCTTTGTAATGGTTAAATAAACAAATCTGGGTTATCCTGCTCTTTGGTAATTCAGATCAAACACAAAAGAAGATTAAGGGAGATTAATGGCAACTAACATTTATATCGAACCCGTATCGACTCAGATAAAATTGACCAGGAGTATACTTGATTAAAACCAATGTTCAGGAGTCTATGGATACGCTTATAGACGATTGAAACTTCACATACATGATTATCATCACATACACAATTAATACTAGTATTCAGCGGAATTTTCAGTGATTTTCCAATGGTTATTCTGCTCTAATATCTAACATTTTAATAACTTCAGTACTTAGTATACTCGAAATTTCATTACGTTTGATTCGTTTGTTTGATGTAATCACATCGAACTTGTTCGAAATTAGTACACCTCTATTTCAAATTAAAGAGTTATTGTCCTTTGTTAAATTTCAACTGCTCTGAATTATTTATTTGTCTAAATATTTGCATGAATCTTCGTACAAACGTTCTTCATTACAAATAGCCGATAAGATTAAAAACGCTTCATTAAATTAATTGCTACATGCTAAAATACATGGTGACCTATGAGATAAGTGTGCCTCCTCGCCTAGATTTCTTTCGATCAATTCTGGTTTCCCTAAGTGGCCTGCTAGGTCCCGAATTAAATGCCCTTGCCATTACTGACGAGCCCTATAATAACGCAACAGCTATATAATGATGTATAGCTCTATTTTTTATTGTAAGATTTTCAGTCTTCACTTATGTGTCTTTTGTACAAACTTCGTCATCTCTCATTGCCAAAGAATATATATTCAAAACGATGGGTTGTAAAGAGAGCATTCTGTGCTAAGTAGTCGGACGCCTGAATAGGGTTGTCCTATGTACATTTTAGGAGTCGAATGAGAAAGGTTCTAATCCGGTTACAACCTATCTATTGTCTCTAAGTGGACAGAATTTACAGTGTCTGAACATAAAAAACCGTATGTATCTGCAAGATTACAAGTTGCATGTCGTTAAATTTGTTTTCTGTAATCTTTTTCTAAAGAACATCGGCCGGGGGTTTACACAATAGCTAGTATCACGGACAGTGACAACAGGACGCTCATGTATGTCAATCAGATGTCATGGTGTCCGAACAAGTTATAAATCATGCACAGGTAAAACTATAAGTATGACACGCTTTGAGTGTGTTATTCTCACCTCATTGCCAGTTTATGTCCTCTACGTAACACCTCTACCATAATGTTTCCGACCGAACAATTGTACGTGACTATCTGTTACCACATGCCACGGACAAATTTGCCCTATGCGACACTATGCTTGATGTAGAGTTGTTTCCCTGCCGAAACATTTACAAAGGGTAATCAGACATTATTGGTTGCGCAACTCTTTTGCAACCTTAAACGGGTCTTATTCGGAACCCATTGAGGTTGGGATCTTAACCTTTTCGATGGTTCCTTCAGTAATCTGCCACAGTGTTATAAATGTCGCGAGCTTATATATCGATGTCCTGTAGTAACAGTCGTTTACATTATTTATCATACTTGTGCTTAAAGTTATGATTCATAGTTCGGTGCAAGATTTCAGAAGAAAACGTCGAACTGCTTGCGCAAGTCTCTACCATATTTATAGAATGTACCGCAATGCACTATACGTATATTGCTCTTCTAGAGCATGCGATGAGATACGATTGACAAATCAACAATGTACAACATTTTATCAATATTTAATGAGACATAATGTATGTATATAATAGGACAATGTAATATGATACAAAATTAGAAACAAAAACAATTATATTTACTTTGTAAACATTTTTTCTTCATTTCTCAGAAAAGATATCTTTCATTTCATTTGCACTTTCATAATTCTTCCTGATATGGCGAGGTACAGTCTAAACAATGATTTATCTAACGTGAATATATCTATATTATGGTATATTATATACGACGACAAAATCACTTACTTTGCATACAACTCCAGGAACTTCCCCCTAACCCCTTACGCAATTTCATGTGCATTTCTCCGTTTCACAATATTTCTCACACTCAAACAAAAAGAGAAAAATGAGATAATATGCTTCGTTTTTTGGCTTCTTACATCTTTTTTTTTTAAATCACTAGTATGGTACTCAAGACTCCAGGCGTTGTTTTTACTCTGAGAGACTGAGACATTACCTAATGCCAATTAATGTTTTAATGAAAGAACAACTGATTTACACAATTTAAATATGGTTAATACCGTTTCAAGTATTCCGAATAATATGTTGAGCAAACTTAATTTTGATTGCTCGATATTCACTTTTAGCAGTAATAGTCATGTTTCCTTTGGTAGCACTGTCCAGTACTGGTCAGAGATTCCAGCCTTGACCGATGTGGGTGAGTGGTAGTAGGACTGACGCCCTGTTGTCCTTCTTTAGTTGTCCATCTACTGCTGTGGACAGTTGATCGTCGTACACCGCGCCTGCCGGACGATAAAATAATGTATGTTTAATATAGACATAATGTGTGAATGTGACTGGTCATCAGAAATGCATACTGACCGTGTCCATCTTGACCAGTGGTGATGGTGACAATCAGAGGTCAGGGGTAATAAGTGGTAAGTATTATACAACAAACATACATGTGTTACAAACGTGCAATATTTTCATTCACATATGGATTATTGATGTACATAGGTAGATCGCATAAATTAATGAAGCAAACTACACACTCGTCCACTTCGTCAAGGGCACACTACCCATGATATTTACAAACTTTACTCTCAAGGAAATTCCAAAGTCATCAGAGCACCATCATAATTGTTTTTCCGCCCAAACAAAGCCTAAAAACGGAAAATGGCCCCTGTCCATATTGCTTGATCATCAGAGCCAAATAAATTTGGGATCGTTTTCTTCATTTCTTTTCTTCAAAATTCTCTCCTATCTCACTTTCGATCCTGTTGGTTGGCGTCCTTTCGAGTGAAAATGACTGTTTTCTGTCCCCAAACCGTGACCTACCAAATTCTTTCAAATAGCACTGCTAAGCGCTCAGCATTGAATGAGATGTAGGTTATGACATGCAAAGGTGATGTCACTATCATGTGTCCCTCGGTGGCCCTATCATATGATAACACCGCCATTGATCTTGATCAAACAAAAACACATCTCCACACCACCGACACAACCCTACATCAACGTCACAACCCCACACCACCGACACAACCCTACAACAACGTCACGACACCACACCACCGACACAACCCTACAACAACGTCACAACCCCACACCACCGACACAAACCCTACACAACGTCACAACCTCACTACACCGACACAACCCTACAACAACGTCACGACACCACACCACCGACACAACCCTACAACAACGTCACAACCCCACACCACCGACACAACCCTACAACAACATCACAACCCCACACCACCGACACAACCCTACAACAACATCACAACCCCACACCACCGACACAACCCTACAACAACATCACAACCCCAAACCACCGACACAACCCTACAACAACGTCACAACCCCACATCACCGACACAACCCTACAACAACGTCACAACCCCACACCACCGATACAACCTGACTCCATCGAGGCAAAACCCGCCCAATAGACACAGTCTCACTATAAAGACACGATTCACTCCAACGACACAACCTAAATCCATCGACACGACCCAACCTTATCGACACCATCCAAACTTCAACGACACAATCTCACTGATACAACTCCACTCCAACGACACCTTCCCTACTCAACATGCATGATCAGATCCAATCGGCATCCATCCTTTGTCCCAGCACAATGGCGCGTCACCTTTATCATCTTACTGATATAACTAACGCAATATCCATGCCAATGACGCGATCCTGACATATTAACTCCGAACGAACACAAACATGGAACTCTCTTGTTTTTACTATACTAACCGTTCCCTTGTTCTCTCCTGTCTGGTCACACGAACAAACGTTACCACAGCTGTCGACCTGCCGGGACTGACCCTCGGGAATAAAGAAGTTCATCACACGGCAACCTGCGACATAGTGAAGTCATACGTCAGCTCAATCAATATATCAAATGAAGACACAGCACCATGTTGAAGTGTCTTTAAAAGTAGAGGGTGTGTGTGTGTGTGTGTGAGGGGGGGGGTATGGCTTACCTCAATGTTATGAGGTAGAGGAGCAACTATACATGACGAGACTGTACAATTTACTTGGTTTTTAAATGTGCTGGAACTACTAAATCTATTTGCACTATTGGCTAAATAGTATTAACATTATATCGATAAGAATTAAAGAGACAGTAATATTAATATTTCCATTTTACATCCCCTAGATAAGACAAAAAGATGTTATAATTCAACGATCGGAAATTGACCGGGTCTTTCTGCTATAAGATATAATGTCAGATTACGACTTCTGTCGCCAAGAGGATGCAGTTAACAACGGAAACAATGTGTTTCAGGAAAAAAATCATTTAAATGAAACGGCAAGTGAAAGAAACCTCTGGCTGAAATACACTATAAGCTGTTTGTTGTATAAAAAGTTTATACAATAAACAAATGATAAAAAACCATAGATAAAAAGGAGGTTAACACACCTCCTTCTGGGTTAGCTCTATTAGCTATATCTCAGTATCTTATAGATCTTGGAAATGAAACAAGTGTATAACATGTTACATAACATTATATCAAATATACTTAAAAAACATGGCGTATTATATATATATTAAACAAACCATCTGGATTCCAGTTCCAAAGTGGTATTTATCATAATTTTTAAAGATATTCGAGTTACCAAGTCTTGTGTTCTGTAAAGATGACTATTTCACCGATGATTACTTATAAAAAATCAATTACGTACCTGCCTGACAGCGACACTCAAGTGATTCTAGGTACATGGCGCAGGGGTACTCCCCAGCAAACACACATTGCTGGTCGGCTGAACATCCACTGTAAATACAAGAAAAACAGTTTCTGAAATTCTCATGGGTCAACAAATTTTAATAGGTTTTGCTTAAGTCTGATTTAAAACAGAGAACGACATATCAGTTTTTTTATGATGACTGGTATCCTGGCAGTCCCAAATTACTTTCGTTTGTCGTGTACAATATAAAGTAAACTTATTTAACTTTTCATTTCAAAAAGCAGGCTTGCTTATAAAAAGTAATAACTTTCAGGACGTGATGAAGTTCCACAAGCTTCTCCTGCCATTTAGGACTCACTATTTAACATTTCTAGAATATTAAGCCATGACACTCTACGAACTCCGACAAAAATCATGTCACGAGGAAGGGAGATTTGTCTTCTCTGTGTTTACTAACTGTCCATCAACAGCTGAGATAAAAATTACAGATTATGTTTCAACTGGCTCAGCGATTCAAACTGTTGCAGTGTGAATGTGTATAAAATTAGGTACCTTTGACCCCATATATACTTAATGACTAAATACTGATAAGATAACTTACGTTGCTTGGCATTTTGATCCTACAGCTGTTGTTGGGAGAGCGTTTGGATCAACAGTTCCCGCATCCGTCGTGCCGATTGTTCCAATTACGGCCACTTCTGAAGGAAGTTCGGTTCCCTGGATCCCAGAGCTTGTTGCACCTGTCCCTGCGCCTGCTCCTGAAGTATCAACAGCCGGAACAGCATTATCCAAACCGGTATTCAATAATGTGTTTCCTGAAATGGTCTGGCCGGATGTTGGGTCCTGGAAGGTACCGCCACCAGTTTCACCACCGAAGGTTCCAGTCTGCGAAGCACCTTCACCTGTGACGGTAAATCGATTGGCGAATGAGTTTCCGGCAGCCAGGACCATATTATCCTGAGTTCCATCTGTTTGTACATTGCTGGTCACCTGTGTTCCTAAACTGTTTACTTGAGCCAAAGCAGGAACTCCGTTATTCAACAAAAATTGATTTGTCAATGTTCCAGTTCCACTCGGAACCCCGGCTCCGGTTAGAGTGTTAGTTCCGCCGAAAACATTTGTGGACCCTGGAACCGCGGCACCTGTGCTTGGTAAAGTTCCTGGAATAGCGGTATTTACCGAAGCAAAAAATCCGCTATTCAAACCAGGTGCAGGAAAACCTGTGTTCGGTAAGGGTGCTGGAAAACCTGTATTTAGGGTTGCAGGAAAGCCAGTGTTAACAGGTGCAGGGAAGGCAGTGTTTAAATTAGTAGGGAAGCCGGTGTTTACATTAACCGGAACACCAGTGCCCGTTGCTGGTGGCCCCTGTGTGATTACTGTGTTGGGTCCAGTGTTTGGTGTTCCGAATACGTTGTTCCCAATTGTGTTGCCAGCCGTACCTATATTTCCAGTGTTTGCGGTACCGATTCCAAAATTTGGCGCTATTCCTGTGTTTGCTACTGAATTTCCTTGAACAACCGTGTTTGTCGGAAATCCCACATTTCCTGGCAAACCATTATTCACAACATTTACAGGTGAAAACGGCGGGACAAATGGATTTCCATTAAATATGGCATTGCCTGGTTGGGTGAAAATTGGGCCACCTCCGATCCCTGGCCTACCTACCAGCGGTGGGCCAAAAATATCCCCTCCAATGAATGCTGGCCTGCCCAAAGGCGGTCTAAATCCGATTCTACCGAACCCCGGAGGACCAGGAAATCCTCTTATAATCCTGGGTGGAGGACCAAACCGAGGAAAAGTCGGGAACGGAGGTTGACCGTATGTAGTGGTGATGATTGAGAATAGGATACAGCACAATCCTAACGAAACCATTGATTTCATCATGGTTACTGCTGGATACCTTGCCCAGTCCTAGTCCGAATGAACACTACTGCTCAAGTCCCTGACTAACCTCTTGCACGTCCTCCTACGTAAATGATAAGCAAATAACAAGCTAGATGTGATAAATAGCAGTTATGGACTATAAAATTATTGATGCCTATAAAACCGTTCATTCGGCTCAACTGTCCCATAATCAGATAACACCTGCAGGCTGGTGTCCGAAGTGACAGATTAATGACCGATGGTCAAGTCCCCGAAACAATGATCTTTTCTTCTTCACGGACTCGTTTTGTACAAAAGTGTCGCTGTCAACTGCACGATGCTGCGAGCTCCTACCGGTCGGTATATATATAATACTGATATTTGTTATACGTAACAAGGCCTGCCGCCTAGTAAGTAAGAGTGAAGCGTTTATTGCGCTGATTTATAGATTTTTTTCTAAATATCTTCATCGCGATATTTTGTCCTCTCTTAGCGGCACGATTTTTTCACCGCAAATTGGAAAACGCCCAGCTAGGTAAACCGCGCCCGGTAGGCACTTACATTCCTTTTTTTACATAACATAATATTATAACATATTATAATAATGAATTACTTAATACAATACATCAGAGTTCATGTTTGGTTGAAACTTTAATATCGTTAGTGTGGGCGAAATCTTTAACTATCTAAGTAAAAGCTAGGCATCGTCAGAAAATTTACTAAATCATTTTGTGATACTACAGCAAACCGATATATTTTGTATTTTGCATTTTAAGATCTGAAATCAGATAAAGACGGATTTGCAAATGTTCTCAGCTTATCGCTCGTGTTGACTTAATAAAAAGAGGGTCACTATTCCGGTATATTTTTCCCGAAAAAGAACACATCGGTGGTTCTTTCAAATCTTTTTTACGTGCCAACATCAGGGCAAATGTCAAATACACAAACAAAATGTAATATGTGTTCCTAAGGTATTTGCACTTGGTCGTTTTTATTTTGTGCATTTGCTGAACTATTCGTATAAGGCAAACGTCAATACTAAGAATACTAAAAACACTGTGGTATTTCAGATTAAACAACAAAACATCGATGAAAGGATTGATGTTTTATTTTGAAATTTGTGAACTGCAGGAAAGGTGAATTTTCTGGAAAACAGCAACGTGCATTACGGAACTACATAATTGTTGTATCGAAAATACATATTTCAAATAACTTTTCTTTGCATCTAGAAATTTTATCTCAGTAAAATAGTGCAAGTAGGAAGAACAATAAATACAATATAGCGCCCTATGAAAGCAGCTGCCGATCTTTTGGATGTGCGAAAAAAACCACATTTTTGTATAACAAACGAAAGTCAGCTAGCAATACTGAGAGATTACTGTACCGGTATTTGTTTTTATTATCCCTTGCGAAACGCGTTTGCGGGGGATATAAGTTTGGGCTCCGTACGTCCGTCCGTTCGTCCGAGGGCTTTTCCGGGCTATAACTTTAACACCATTAAACTCAACTGAACAACAGTTTTGGCGACATTTCATTTTTCATGTTTTCTCTGTTACCATGGAAACATAGCCAAAAATTAGCGTTTACTTTCCTTTCCAAGCTACAACTTCGAAATCATTCTACTCAACTCCTCAAAACTTTCTGTATATATTAGGTTAGTGCCCTAGTTAAAGCATTTTTGTTACTATGGAAATAGATAACCCTCGTCACAAATTTCAGTTTTTCTGGACCAGTGCTCTGAAAGAGTTCAAGGTAATTGCTCAAACCTTTTAAGACTTATTAAGCTAGTGATAACTTTTGATATTGGGAATCTCTCCATTTGAATACCATGGAAACAGATAGGCCAGATCAAAAAAGTTTTTTTTCAGATCAGTTCAAGGTAATTACATTGTACTCAAAACTTTGTACAGGCATTAAGCTAGTACCCTAGAAGAAGTTCTCAATTTCTATATTTTGTATGTAACGATTAAAAATAACAAATATAATTTAAACTTGTTGAAATTTTTATATGACTGTATATCTTTTAAACAGTGGGGCGCGAGGGATAATGTCACGCTTGGTTTAATCATGTTTATCTATTTATTGTATTTATACATTTTTGCGCGTGCTCTCGCTGTCACGCGATCTGTCACAATGCCGATTGTGATCAGAATCGTCTGAAGTGAAAATTGGGTGGCGTGTACGATGAATCGGTTGATGACATTTACCGACTGATAAAAGTACAACTTTTCCCGATTTTTTTTACGCACAGTAGCTTGACAATCAGCTTAAAAGGACACAGATATGGCTGGCGACGTATTTCCTGAAAGTTTTTGGTCTCTTTGTTGAGAAAAAGTATATTCATTCACCCAATAAAGAGAATGTTACTTTCCATCAGAAATAAAATATGATCCAGATGTCACGTTATTGTCCATTTTTTCGAAAACAAAGCGACGACAATCAACGATTTATACGCTGCTACGAGGGCGATATCGTGCCTGTTATCCTACTAGCTTCATGTTTATTACGTCAACAATCTCCGTCATGAGAAATAAGTACAGCTGAAACTGTTAAAGTTACACACCGCCTGTAAATATTCCCCTGGTAAACCAGTGTGCTGATGCTCAACCGACTTTTTGTCAATCAGAATATAGGGAAGAGAAACGTAGTGAATCAAGCATTCTCAATGCTGAGGAATCATTCGTATTATAACGCAAGTCTTCATCAGGTGTGTAAGATAATAAAAATAACTACTTGCCATAATAAAGTATTGTAGACAAAATATAATAAAGTATTGCAGACAAAATATAACAAAGCATTGTAGACAAAATATAACAAAGTATTGCAGACAAAAAATATAAAGCATTGTAGACGAAATATAATAAAGTATTGCAGACAAAATATAATAAAGTATTGTAGACAAAATATAACAAAGTACTGTAGACAAAATACAATAAAGTATTGCAGTCAAAATATAACAAAGCATTGTAGACGAAATATAATAAAGTATTGTAAACAAAAGATAAAGTATCATAGAAAAAAGACAATAAAGTATTTTAGACAAAAGACAATAAGGTATTGTAAACAAAAGATAAAAAAGTGCTGTAAATAAAGATTGTATACAAAATTGAAAACATATAATTTTGAATAAAGTTTGGGGATTAGGTGTGAATAGATGATGATGAGGCAAAACACTAATAATAATAAACAGCTCTGTTGTTGATCAGTGTATGATGTGATAATGAGGATAAAAGGTTGATGATGAAGTGGTGATGATGATATGATGATTACAATGCTGAATATGTGTTACTGCTGATGATGATATGATAGTGATGATGATGATGATGATGATGATGACGATATGGTGATGATCATGATAATGAAGTGATGATGATACGATGATCATGATGATAACTATGATGATGATGATGACGATGGTGATGATGATGACGATGATGATGATGATGATGATGATGATGATGATGATGATGACAGCAGTCATTGAGTTTGTATTATTATAGGGGCGTGTGAATGAAACACAGTAGTACATTGTATGTCATGTCAGCAAAGAGGAAAGAGTAGGAAATAATGAGTGCATGTTTTGAGTGAGTGTACATGGGTGTAGTGTGATGTGTGCTAGGGTGTGTATGTGTATGTGAGTCTAGTATATATCGTGTGTTGCATACCTTTGTAAAATCTTGAAAAACAAAATAAAAAAAAAAGTTAAAAAAAAAAGATTGTATACAAAATATGATAAAATGTTGTAAACAAAAGGTAATAAACCATTGTAAACAAAACAATTTAAAGTAATTTAAAGGTATCGTACACAATATAATAGTGTTTTGTTTAAACAATACAGCTGAGTGACGTAAATATAACAAAGTTTGTGGAGAAAGTAGTGTCAACAAAATATATAATAAGCAAAAATAAGGATGGGATATCTCGATAACTGGCTCTCTGATTTTACAGATATACATATTTCTACAAGTACAAGAGCTAAACGTCTTGAGAGATCTTTCATAATCTTATCTTTCATAACCAACATCTCAAGCCTTTTAAAATATCCACATGACCAATTTCAGGAAGATTCTTATGACTCACACTATCACTATTTCAGTACATGTTTAATTCCTAGCTCAATTACTGCAAGGTGTTCACTTTTTGCACAATCATGTTTTTCATTTCGGAAATCAAATGACCTGGGTTTTTTCTATTTAGTTTATTGGGATTTTCTGGCGAGAATTCCCAGGTGTCCTCTACGCTGCTACCTTAGATACTCACTAAAAACCTGTCTATTCATGAGAAAGGTGTACGTTACGTCACAATTAATTTCGAGGTATTTCAGTTAACTGTCTTTGTAATGATTTACTTGTATGTTAAATTGATTTTAGATTTATGTATAAAGTCAGTTTAAGAAAACAAATAGTAAGACAGGTGAAGACGTCCGTGCATTAAGATTGTGTTTTTTAACACAGAAACTGTTCTCATGTCCTAGAAAATCGATGTGATTTAACAGGTATAGTTGGACATTGTAGTCCAGTATGCCACAATGTTTAAACGCGGAATAGTTAGCACATTTGTGCGGACGAGATAGAACAAGTACTTTGACATGGAGTTTCAAGAATATGTAGATATTTGTCTCACTTAGCCTTTTTATTTTGTTTATATTTTTAAATTACATGTATCATAATTATTTCATTTTATGCGCTTTATCTGGATCTACAACTTTCCCCGTGTAAATTGCCAGATATATCTAAGCGAGAGTTCCTCTCTGGGTCACTGTTAATAAGAATTCGAAAGCGGTGACTTCAGTTGACCTGAAGCGTATGTGACATCATGTCGTCGTAAAACACACTGCCACTTACAGAAAATGATAAAATTAACGCGTCTTACCCGGCCAAGGTGGTAGTTTTACACCTGTAATTACACTACTGATGCTTTATGAGGTTGACCTGAAAAGTTGAAAGCCATTGTTACATAAAGACGTATATCAGAACAACGATACACATTTCTGCTTCCTTTTGGCACCGCAGGTAATTAGT